TGCTGCTTTAAATGTGTCATGGGGTACTCTGTGTGGAGTTTGCATGTTCTCCCCATGTCTGGGTGGTTTCCTCCAGGAATAATCCCTCAGCTAAGGTACTCACGATCTCTCTTCTCCACTTTCTATTTACCTTCTCTGTCTCTAGCTATCTTCACTTCCCTTTCTCTCTCTTTCCTCTCCCTCTCCCTCTCCCATGCTGAGTAAACAGAGTTGGACACCTGATGCCCTCCCTCCCTCTCTCATATTGATGATTGATAAACTCTGGCCTCTTAGAGAATGCCGGTGCTGTCCTGCTCCAGAGCAAACAGAGCAGCACATTAATGCGTTTACTCAGATAAGCGCCACACTTTATTTACACCTGCGCTAAACAATATTACAAATATAAAGGCCATTCTCTCCACTCCATTCATTTGTGTATGTACGCCCGGTAAAATACCCACTTAAAGTTCACCTGACCTGACTCTGCAGAGTTAAAGCCCGTTTCACATGGTCAGTAAACTGAGAATAATCCTGTGTGTAATATTAAACATTTTCAATAACACATGTCATACCACAACTTCATCGAAACAATTGTAGTGTTTTAAAAGGGGGGCTAGTTTACATCTATGAGATATTAACTGCTAACACATCTCTCTCCAACTATCTAAGGATAGAGGGATGGAGGTAAAGGTTAAGGTACTGTCCCCGTAGGAGACGTATCTCAGTGATCTTGTTGCCAGGCTTGGTCAGGACTACCTTAGCTGGAGGATTTTACTTATGGTGCATGTTTTGGGTTGATGGGGAAAACCGGAGTGCCTGGAGGAAACACATCCATACATGGGAAGAACATGCAAACTCGACACAAAAAGGCCCAGGTGACCCATGGATTGAACCCGGAACCTTCTTCCGGGACAGAGATGATTCAGTCTGTAGTCCACTGACACACTTTCTTCACTGACTCAGCCTGACGTGTGCTGATGTATCAGACAACACAGCACCCATGAGGGACAGACAGGGAGGGAGGAGGGACGGAGATGGAGGGACAAGGTAAAAGGATGGAAATAGAAGGACAGAGATGGAGGTATAGAGAAGTGGATGAAGGGATGGATAAGAAGGGATAGAGATGGAGTAATAGAAGAGGCACGAAGGACTGGAGGGATGTAGATGGAGGAACTGAGATGAGGGATGGAAAACCAGGCTAACCAGCTCTGTGGTAACTAAATCCATAACACGGTTGATAAAAGTCCAAAAAGCACATTTAGAACTTACAATTTCTCTCTTATCTTATCTTATGATATATTTGGTAGCATCACGGCACTTCGTGGGTAGTACTAGTAGGCAAGTACTGTAGCAGTACCAGCCAGGCCGTCTCCCTCTGCAGTGACCCCCCCACCCCAGGGCCCGCAGGTTACACGGGTGGGCTTATGATGAGTTTCGATTATCCACTCCACCATTCAACATTCCCAAAGCTCTGTCTCCCATTCACAGACCCAGAGTGGAGCAGTGTACCCGTCTGACCTGCTCTCCCAACCCACTCGATAATAACTATGGGACTATTTTTAACCAATGAAATAATACAAACGCTGAGTGACATGGTCTATATAAAACTCTTATCTCTCTATCAACAAACAGTCGGATTCCCACATGGTTTATTTTAGAAAAGGCTATTCTCAAACGCGCGATGTGCCTGTTCAAAAAGTGTGGGCGCATTCCACGGATTCCTTTCACTACTGCAGAGAGGAGGTGGCTGATTGGACAGTGGTTAAAGTGGGAAAGATATGTCATGTGTGTCAGATGCCCTCCCTGTGTCTTCATGGGGTCTTATTGTAAAAGCTGCTAATCATGTAGTTTAGACATTCACAAACATGTTCTGAAATGTCACTATGGGTCAGATGCCCTCCCTCTTTCTCTATGGGGTCTTATTCTGTGTAAAAGCTTTTAACCCTGTAGTTTAGGCTTCTATAAACATGTTCTGAAATGTGCCTGTGTGTCAGATGCCCTCCCTGTGTCTCCATGGGGTCTTATTCTGTATACAAGCTCCCAACTCTGTAGTTTAGGCTTCTATAAACATGTTCTGAAATGCGTGGGATTCTTGTATTAGTTTAGGATTAACAGTTAAGATTTCAGTCTTCTCTCAAATCTTGTTAAGATGTTAAATGTCCTGTACCTGATTTTTATTTGAGCAAAATGACTCTGTCCCAGGCACTCCAGATATATTGTATAAACACTTCCTGAGGTCAAAATAAGTCAGCTGTGCACTTACAAAGCGTTTTATTGTCCGGCACTTATTAAGTGTGTATTGAATTGTTATTCACTATGGCAACAGTCCTCATTTTTCATCACTCTGAAACCCATAGATAAGCACAAGTCCTAACAGAAGTTCTAAGATAATAGATGTGGTATCTGTCCACAAAACAAACCTAAACCTGGACTAAACAGGATTCAACTGGGGCCAATGTGGATTAAACCAGGACTAGACCTGCTTATATCTAAACATTGACTAAACCAGGTCTTAAACCAAGTCTTAAAGGTGCTGTTCTAATACCTGTCTTAAAAACGTAAAAAACAGGACTCGTTCATTTCAAATGGTTTGCAGTGGTCCAAAATTATTCTTCACTTACCTTATGCATTCCAAGCCTGTTAATTATTCACCTCAATGAGTTCATAAGTACTTTTTGCTGTTACTTTAAAGCAAACAGCAACAAGCATGCTAATAGCACACTTCCTTATTATCAGACAATGAAAGGCTTTATAATTGGATGCAGACAGTACACAGCAGACTTATTTTGACCTCAAGAGCTGCTTATGCAATATTTCTGAACTGGGGCAAGACATATTTTGCTAAAATACAAGGGAAAGAATCGAGTAGAGCGCCTTTAAGTAGGACAGAAGTAGACTGGCCCCTATGCACTCTCCTGGCCTGTAGAGCGTGTCGGGCCCCTGCTCCTGTGAGGGCAGCAGTCACAGTCTGTCACTCAGCCAGAGGAAGCTGTCTGAGACCGGAGATCCATGTGCTGTGTTCTGGCTAGTGTTGTCACGATACTAACATTTCAAACTCATCTTCAATACTAAAGAATAGACTCAATACTGATTTTGATACCGAAAAGCTCTTTTAGGCATAATGTAATTTTCAACAATAGTATTTGTGCCATTCAGACTTTCTTTTATACTATCATGTGGCCTTATATCTGTATAAAAACCCTCAGCTGTCCAGGTGGGTTCCATTGTGGTCCATGGTCATATATAAGTCAAGGTCTTCTACTTTTTTTGATGCAGCTCAAGATCATTCTTAAGCTATTCTGGAAAAGTTAACTTCTGTCCTGTAAATGTGACTTTTTTAAAAATATTGATACCTGCTCAAATGAGTACCAAGTTTGGATACTAGTTTTAACATTGATTAGGATTGTTAGAGTAACTGTTGTATACAGAAAACAAAGTAAAACGTATATCTCAAATATATATCAAAAAATATCTCAATCTTTAACATTTTGTCTTTCACTTGTCTCTTTACCATTTTAGTTTGCTCTTTATGTTTTCCTTGTTAAAATATAAAACATTTACATGACATTTATATAATCTGATTACTCCAGAAATCAGATAATGATCAGATATTGGTGTGCATCTAAACATAGCTGATGTCACGGCATGTGCATAGGAATAATCTGGATTTTAATCAACTTTAAAAAGGGATAATTTAAGATAACTTTGCCAATGTGGATGTATTAACTGACAGCGCATTTATTCTAGAAATGTCAGTGCAAGAGAAATCAGCTGTCAGAACAAGTTAGGATAAAGTCACAGTGTTTCAAGCCAGTACTATCAACTGTAAAATCTCCTGGATGGGAGTTGAAACATCTTGATTGCAAAATCCCTGTCGAGATGACCACTGTTGTAACTGTCTCTACACTGAATCTGGACGAATGAGGGATTCGAAGTATCAAAAAATAATGCTGCAATTTATATTTTTTATTTAATTCATATATATTTAGATATTTATTTATACATTTCTATTATTTATATATTATTTTATATTTTGTCTGCTGGATTACATCAACACCAAAACATTACAATAATTACTATAGGATATATATTACAATAGTTAAGTGTACATTTTATTCTGCTTGGGTAATATATTGGGTTATATTAAGTTTTTAATGTATATTTATGACATTTTAAATTTAACCAAAACAGTTTGTTCAAATGGCAAGTGTCTGCCAATACATACTAGGCAAAAATAATCTATAAAACGAGCGAAACAAGTTTTTTGACCATTAATACTTTATAAATTGATTATGGTATTTTTTGTTTTGTTTTACATATACATTCATGAGCAAAGCATCCCTATAACTTTATTTTTTAACTTGGACAATTTGTACAAGATTCTGCACAAGTTTACTTTGCACTGAAATATACCCAGTCGTGAAGGACTGAATAGATATGCATGTTTTTACATTTTTAAAGCGCCATATAATGTAACATAATAGGTAGGCTGCATTTAAAAAAATATAGCAACCTTTGTTTTTCTACTGTTGGTTCATTCTAGCACTTTAGACCAGTCTGATAAAGTAAAATCCTATACTCAAAAGAGTGTGCCGTTCTCAGTAAAGCAATCCTGTACGTGCGTGAGAACACTGCTGGCGACTCGCTCACTCCCGAATGCAAAATGGCCACATGGTCGTAGTAACCTTCATCTGTGATCTCCCGATCCCTCCGCAGCTCTCCATTACAAACGTTACGCACACGAAAAATACATTTCACAAATATTTAGTTGTATTAAACTGCTCAGCACCGACGTTTACGTTATACGACGAGACTGAATGTTCTAGACCTAGTTTTGAAGGATCGTGTCCACCTCCGCCACGAAGAAGCCTACCACATGGTCCTGTAGCATCCCAGGGTACATGCAATCCACGCTTTAGCCGTCAACAAGCACGGCAGCGTCATTTTAATAAATATGTGAAGATTTTCGATCAACTCTGAAACCTTTCACGCTATAAACTCATATTAAAATTATTACTTACTCTCGCCATATGATGTCAAAACGCACAAGCTGGAGATGGAGAGGAGGAAGCCCCAAAACACCGTCTGGGTGTACACCGGTGCGCCAGCTTTCATGTTCCTTTGCGTAACTCCCACGTAAAATGTATAGAATTATAAAAAATGTATAAATCCAGGTATCGATTTGAGATTAAAAAATAAAGATCCAATGCGTTAAAAAATGTTACTCTCCGCTGGTAGCCTCCGAAATCGCGTGAGACAATTCCAACTAAAACAGGCTATATAAATTAATCTACGAACTAACTGTGGCAAAAAATGAGAAAAATAAGAGATATAAAAAAACAAAAACAGTCTGCTATTTTTGCCAATCGCTGCATGCTCGGGCTGCTATGCCACACGAGCCCGTTTTTCTGGACAAATAGTGATAATCTGCGTCGTCCGTCTCCATCTCGTAATTCCAAATAACAGCACTATGTCCTGTCCTTTTTTATTTTTTGAGGACAACTTCCTAAAAGGTTAATAGCCAGTGAGGAGCCCCATACACGCGAGCCAGTGTTGGGGAAAAGGGGGAGGTGGGGGCGAGGAAAGCCAGCTACACAGGGGTGGTGGCTGGGAACCTCAAAAATGAATGATAAAAGCACCAGGTTACACGCTTTAAATCCAAAGTGCCCAGTCGTTATAGAGGCGGTGCGTAGTAAGTGATCCGAACCAGGCCGGGCTGCTCCGTGCTGTGCCGAAAACAAAACCAGACTTCTGCCACGCAATAGAATGGGTCTCTCCAGCTAAACGCGAAGCCGGGGAGGGAGAGGAGACGTGTGCTGGTCCTAAAGGCAAACACTACCATCCGCCGTCAAGTCTGCTGAGGTTTTTCTCCGCGTAAAAAGTAGAAAAACAAAGCCAGCTGTAGCCCGTACTCCCAAGGCTATCCGACGGTGGCTCGCCCTCGCTCGGTGTCCGCTCCTCCGTGGAATCTGTGCCGTAAACAGAGTCGGCTTCGCTCACTCAAACGCGCAGGGTCCGGATAAGGTGGCGGGCAGAGGAGAGAAAAACCCGGGCTGGATCAGGAGCGAAGAAGCGGTATTACGCGCGCCTTACGCACACTCTGATTGGCTCGCTGACTGTCGTTATTCAGCCATAAGCTTTGTATTGTTTTTAGTTATTCTAGCCTACGTGCGTTGAATTAAAATATCTCGAAATGAATAAACATTTTAGTGCATTAACACGGTGAATTCGAATCGACGCTTTTATTTGCATTTTAATAAAGCCACAGCATACTAGTGTAACTTTTTTGTCAAAAATATCTCCACAAGCCTGACTGTATGCACTAACCTTTCTGATGATTTTATGTAACCTTCCTGATGGGAATTACGCCGCCTGCTTTTCTCCATGGAGAGGTAATCGCCTTTTGTGAGGAATATTCCACTGTATGGCATTTAATATATTGTATGAGTATTTTGTTACAGGTATTCTTATTGGAAAACATTCTAGCCAAAAACAGCTTCATGGAGACACGCATATAACAAGTGTACAACTAGAAAAGTTACTTGCGTTTTTAAATCAGACATTAGACACTGGACAGGCATATTGTTTTCTGTAAAGTATTATCCATAGTGGTGGTTGTCAAACAAATAAACACACACACACACAAAATGTATTAGCAGTTTCGACCTATTTTCAATCTTAAGTTCAATCAGATATCAAAAAGAGTCTCACACGAGTCTCTCATTTGGGTTAGTTTCAATGATGAAATCGAGTTGGTTTAAAATCATTTAGGCGACTAAAAAGGTGGCGTGGCAAAAGCTCACGAAACTATTTTGTATCTCTTTGTATCTTACCCAAACTGCACAGACTATTCCTGCACGGGAGTTCAGCAAAAACTATTTATGCAGAAAAAGTACCAGGAAACAAAGTAAGATAGATTAAACCTGTGAGTCATAAGTTGAATCTGTTTTTATATATAAATAACAAGGAATACCAAATTTTCATCTAACTCACTCCCTAGCTTCTCTTTTCTGCTGTTGTCCCATATAAATCTTTCCGGTAAAAGGATTAGTACAGTACATTAGGACTAATACACATTTTGGTTGACTTCACTGACTGATTAATCAACTAGGACTAGAACCCTAATTTAAACCTAAAATACCTCTCTCTGATCTGAATGGTCACTTCCCAAAACCCCAGCTCCTGCAGACAATCATAAATCAGTGCTAGTGCAGCCTCTGCAGCTCAGGGAGGGAATTTTGGAGGTTCTGAGCTTTCATATGAGGCCTGGTCTGTACATATACAGAGAATAAGAAAAACCTGTATGTGTCCTCTATCTGTAGGTTAAGGCACTGACAGCACAGGTTTAGTTGTGATTGTACAATTTTTTTATAAACCGTAAGAGGGCATTCTACATACAGTTCTTTTAACTACCTCCAAAACATAAACTTTAGCCTTTTTAACATACATTATTTATTTGAGGTGCAGTGACTGTACACTCAAGAAGCAGAAGATAGCTGGTTTTATTCCCACTTTACCACTTAATGTTGTGGTGTCAGTGAGCAGGACACTTGATCCGCATTGCCCAGGTGCTTTTCAGACATATAAGACAAGGCTGCTGAGTGCTTAGTTTGTACATGATATGAGACAGTTGAAGAGCCACTTCACATCACCATTGTGCTGTTTACAAAAGTTTAACACATTCTTTTCAAGACATCCAAACAACCTCTGCTGTGGATGGCTAAATATATAGCCACTCATATATATATATATATATATATATATATATATATATATATATATATATATATATATATATATATATATATATATATATATATATATACACACACACACACACACACACACACAAACATTTCTGGTTTGGTCCTGAATAAAAGGTATTGGTGGTGAGCTCACAATAAGGCTACCTATTTAAAAGGCCATATATGCACCTGTGATATACTAAATGAAAGATAATTTGAATGCCATACATTCCCAGAAAGTAATAACATCCCCATGAAGACAAGCATATAGCAGTTCCCCTATTAGAAAAGTTTTTTTTTTACTGCAGCTACTTCAGACAAAACCTACAAGCAATATATGCACAGTGTTGCATACTTAGACTATAATAGTTTTTTGCTAATTAAAAGTAAAACTCTGCCTTTGTAAATTAGAAGTCATCAATGAAATTATGTGCAAAGCAAATGGTTGGAATGCAATTTGTTATCCAAATAAATGAATTTTAAAAAATCAGCACACTTGTTTATGACTAAGTTAACTTTAAAACTGTAAAAATAAAATTCCTTTAACATTTTTCTTTGTTTAGGTTATAAATAAGCCATAAAGAATCGTAGAGTAAGCAGACTTGAACCGTTGCTGCTGCGTGGGAAGCCTGCACGAAGCTGTGTCTGTGTGTGTGTCTAGGTGCGTGTCTGTCTGTGTGTGTCTGTGTGTGTGTGTCTATGTGTGTGTCAGTATGTGTCTGTGTGTCTGTGTCTGTCCTGTGTGTGTGTCAGTATGTGTCTGTGTGTCTGTGTCTGTCTGTGCCTGTCTGTCTGTGTCTGTCTGTCTGTGTGTGTTTCTATGTGTCTGTGTCTGTTGTGTGTGTTGTGTGTGTGTGTGTGTGTCTGTGTGTGCGTGTCTGTGTGTGTGTATGTGTGTCTGTGCTGTGGCAGACGCTCTACTCACACATCGTCATTGGGCCGGTGGAAAGCCTGAAGTGGATCCGGAGTGGGGACCGACACAACGGACGGGACCGAGCCTGGTTTATCCCGTGTACCGCACTGCAGCCAGCAACCGGGAGTCAGGACAACAGCAGGGGAGAGGAGGCTGTGAAGAATATGTGTAGTCTTTAAATATTACAGATACAAGTAAAGACATCAGATTAACTACTGCTAGAGTAAAAAAGTATCTGGGGAATGTCAGAATGTTGTTACCTCGTCACAAACATACCTGGAGTTGTGTTTTGTTTCATTCACACATGTTTGAGTAACTCTTTATTATTAGTCTGTCTGCATCTCCAAAACTCACAGTGCAGCACCTTTTACATTTAATTCAGTAAAGATAAAAGATAAAACACAACTCCAGCTAGCTTGTGATAAAGAAACAACATTAAAACGTAGATCAGAAAATAGTACAACATAGGCCATTTAAGTAAAAAAAAATATGTGGTACAAGTGTAAATTAATGGTGTACTTCAAGAGTAAAAAGTAAAAGTATTTGGGACAGATTTTGAGATCTATTAAAGTCTTAAATGTAGGTTAGTGATAATGATGAAGAATTGTGCTGAGGTTTGTTCCACAGCAACAATTGATTCGATTTCGTAATTTTTATTTATTATTTTATTTTTATTTTTTTACATTTTTTGTAGGCCTTTGTTTTTGTTTGCTTAAACTATTAACGTACTAAAACCCCTCAGCCTAAAAAAAAAGTAAAATTAAAAAGTATCCACTTTTAAAACTTAAAACTTAAGTATGAATCTTTGTTTTGTTTTGCTTTCTTTTTTTTTTTTTTTTTTTACGGTTAGGTTATCTGACAGTACGTATGTGTTGTAATGTAGAGTACAGTTAACCTGTGCAGATCCAGCGAGGTCACGTCAGTTCATTTTGTATCCGTTTGTATTTGGCTCCATCTAGAGGTGAATACGGAAAACTACACATGAATCCAAAAGTGTTATAATGGGTTTAGCAATAGTTATATAGCCTCCAAAATGGCTTTTCTTTTAGTACATTTATAGTGTTGCAAATCTGTTAATTAATTCCTATATAATTTATAAATTTATATGTGTATGATTATTAATAGGGCTAGATGAGTTGAAAGTAGGATTCTGTTCAGAGAGGATATCTGACACACACGGGCATTTCAGAAGATGTTTACAGAAGTCTAAACTACAGGAGTACAACAAGTTTTTCCTATCAACATTTTGACATTCTCTAATCTAAATAAATGCAGCCTTTGCAATTTTTACAACTCAGCCTACACTTTTGATTTGGTTGTGATTAATTGTACCATTATTATTACTATCCATTTGAAATATATCATTACATTATTTATCATAGCAGTGGTTTAAATTCTCATTTCTAACACTGGGCACATTTACACGTTCAGTCGAAACCAGATCACTAGAGTAATCAGAACTGTCCTCTGATTACTTAAGAGTTCTTTTACACCAAGTTACATTATATTTGAAAAAAAGTTGACATATAATACAAACAGCTTGCATTAATTTATGTTTAATTAGAAAAGGAAAATTTGCACAAGCTCTCAACACAAATGAAGCTGCGTTTTCTTGCCAAAATGGCTTGAAGCACAGGCATGTATTACTTTGATCCGGAAAGTACCATAACTATTCTGAATATCACCAAATGAAAGAGTAACTGTACCTGGATACTCCAAATTTGTATTCTGAATATGTATTTTTGATGCATTTATTGTATTTAATTACTGACTGTATTTGGAAGACAAAATACAAAACAACTCTTTCAATCTTTCATTTTTATTTTTTATACCACATTAGTTGGCCCCTTATGCATCTTTTTCCTTGTCAAAACCTGCACGACTGTGAACAATCAGAGAGAAATCAGATTACTCCCATCACAGTAACTGTTTACATACTCTATGTAACAATATACACTACCAGTCAAAATTCTGGACACACTCTTAAGTGTTTTTTTTTCTGTTTGTTTGTTTTTTTACACTACCTTCTACATTTCATATACATGCAGAAGACATCAAATATACACTGCCAGATATATGGAATTTTGTTGCAAAGAAGAAGACTCAACTAAATACTTTTCATATTTTATATTCAAATCCTAAATCTGTCCACCCTCTGCTTTGTTGACAGTGCTGCAAACCCAACTGTGCTTTGACACTGTCAAGAAATGCAAGGCAGAGATCAAATCAAAGGGTGTTTTTTTTTTTTTTTTTTTTTTAGATATTGTGAGTGTATTGTTTGTTTGCTACATTCCACATGTGTCCAAACTATAATAATCATCCAATTTGTGGTGTATATGGAACATAGTTTAGCATATTTTTTCAATATGCTCAATTTATCAGTCAATCAATATCATTCAAATGTCTCTTTCACTTTTTGATATGATTTTGCTCTGTGTTCAGACTCCACTGTTTCTCTGCTGAAGACCTCCCACACTCGGGGCAGGTTGTTCGGGTGGTTGATGGTCGCTCGGGGCAGAGTGCTGAGGCAGTTGTTGGGGCAGTTCTTGGTCACTGGGGTGGTTGAACAGCACTAGCCCCTCCTGTCCCGGGTCAGAGGTACAGATCCACCAGTGGTTGTTTTCCTCTTCAGCTTTATGAGAGTCCAGGAAGGTGTGTGCTGTCAGCTCAAACTCCCTCCCATATATGGTCCTGTGAGGAGGCAGGGGCAGGGGGAGGTTGTGGGTCAAATGCCGATCTTATGTGAGGAGATTAGGCAGAGGTTTCACTGTACATGTCAGTAGCATGAGTAGCATGTGTGATTTACCAAAGCACATGGTCTCCCAGAACTGCAAGGGCCTGGTTTGTCTTACAGTGGATGATTAGCACCTTAGCGTTAGCCTGGAGGAGAGCCAATGAAGTAATTAAACACAGAAATACGTTTTGGCCCTAGGTAACAGTAACGTCTACCCATGCCATATCCAAAGGTAGGTAGAGTAGTCAAAAATATACTCATGTAAGAGCAATGTTACTTCAACATAACATAATATCACTCAAGTAGAAGTACATTGTAGTAATAGTAGAAATTACAAAATTAATAAGTAAGAATAAAAAGGTGTTTGGGAAAACTACTTTAAAAGTAACTATCTGGACATAACATTTGATTTATAATTTGTAAGGACAAAACATGAAATAATGCACAAAATCCGGTAATTTCAAAGGATAGAAAATGGGACAAACTAAATCATATTTGAAGAGCTGCAAGAAACACAAATGTTCAGATCATTTAATATTTTTGTCAAGCTTTTGTCATTTGTAGAAAACTTTCTCAATTAAGAGCACTGTTACTTCAATAAAGAAAAATACTCAAAAAGAAGTAAAAGTGTGCTGCTAAAAAAGTACCATACTCTGAAAAGGACAATTCTTTTAAAAGTTACTCCAGTAAATGTAACTAAATAAATATAGCTAAGTTCTACTCACTTTTGGTCATATCTGCTGCCCGTGTCCAACCAGGAAGTAAAATTATTAACAAAATTATTAAACCAGAAAAGCCTGGGCAAGATTCTAAATAAAATCTAAAATGTAATGATGTAATCTATGTTTGAGTGAAATGTGTAGTCTACCATGGTGGTTGAGGGAGCCAATGGTGCAGACTACACTCAGACTCATGATTGTTTTTGTAAGAAAACCACAAAGGTATTTAAAAATTTAAGTAACAGAAAAATCAAATGTGTAGGAACCAAATACTAGTGTGCTGTCTGTAGACTCACAGGTACAGGCAGGCCCTCATGCTCCAGCCGCTCCTGAGGGTCAAAGTGCACGACTTTCCACCATGACAGAAACGAACCCTGTGTCTCCAGGCTCACCTCCTGAAGGCGGGACTTCTTTGCACACTACACAGTCAGGAAATACACAGGAATTATACACAGGTCAATGCAGCTATAGTTTTAGATGTGTAGGACAATATCAAGTAGTATGACAAGTACAAGTACCTTTTGAAAGGTGCTGATGTCACTGGTAAGGAAAAGCTGAGGAGGAAAACAAAGGGCAGATGAATATATATTATTTATCAAATTATTTATGATGAGAAAATGTATAAATGCTTCATAGTACAAAGTAAAGAGTGTCTGTGCTGTTACTTACTCCTCCTGCAAAACCGCTGGTGGTTCTCAGGGCAAAGCTTTGCTCATAGTGAAGACTTGTGCCATCGAAGCTTCCATCCACACTACAGATAAAAAATATGAATAATATCAGTCATAGACACCTTAAAGTAGACCTGGGTATACTGTGGCCCGTTACATTAGTGAAGAAGAAATGTTTATGAGCAGTGATGATTTCGGCCCAGTCCTACACCCATATGTGGCACAACAGAGTGACAGACATCATAAGGTACAAGGTGCTTTTGAAAGAATAAATCAACATATTGCTTTCAGTGATGCTAGTTTAAGTGGTAGGTGCTTATACATCTAACGATACAGTGCACTATCTTGCATTTATTCAGTTACAGGTGTTTACTGTGTGCACCTTGACAGTCCATAGATCTGACTTTTAACTTGCCTGACGGCCACAATATTGCTAAGTTCCAGTTCTGTATTTTTGTACTTTTCCTCTTGATGTTTTTCCACAAACTGTCACTTATCTGATGTAAAACTATGATACATATTGACCCCAGGTACTATCCCACCAAACAAAGTCAAATTTAGAAAAACATGAATACCTGTCATATGCACTTTAACTATATTTAGTACCCGAGATATGAATACCAGTAAATACATACACTATGCACATACACTACAAAGGCTTATACATTATGCAGTACTGACCTGGTGATGACAAAAGCAGTGCGTGTGCAGGGCTGTAGTGCTGGCCCTGCACTAACCTCACAAGGGGGCAGCAGACCTGGAGTAGGCTCTCTGGTCAGCCGGGACACCTCTGCGTTTAGACTGACCGCGGTGCACTGTCTCACAGCACTGCCCATGTTAACCAGCATCACCGCGTCCCCGAAGTGCACACCGCCATCTCTGGACACGGACAGAGGCACCTGCACGAGGACAGGGGGACAGTGAGAGAAATTCAGTGAGCTTTATTTCTATATCACATTTATAAGCAAAGACTGCTTCCAAAGTGCTGCACATATAGAAATAAAACATCGACAATCTAATACAATAAAAACATAAAAACAATAGAGTAAAACCAGTGAAATAGACCCATATGAATAAAAAATCAAATCAGTAAAACAAAACAATAAAATACAACAGAGGATCACACAACTCACAGGGTGTTAAAAGTCAGAGAGTAAAACTGGTAAAAGAAAGAAACATGGGAACAGAGAACAAGGGGGCAGGGGGACAGGTGTCAGGCCTCTACATGTACACTCTGTTAGACATTCTGGAGGCAAAGTGACATTTACCGGTCTGAGAATGTGCTCCTTTAACAGTTGAGTTCTCTGCCCAGCCAGCTCTCCCCGCTCCTTTTTCTCCAGATACTCTTTCAAAGCATCCTGTGGAAGTATAACTGAACTCATCAAACTCATATTTATATAATACAACAAAAATATAAGTTACCTATTTACTAATTTAAACTTTTGCTTTTCTTTCATGTCTGCACCACCAGTTTGTCTTTACTCCTGAAAAGTGCTCTTTAGTCTATGTGACTCTTAACTTTTCTTTTCTGTCTTTTCTGTCACATGGAGACAAGCAGATGACACCACCAGGCGAAGTTACAGATTATCTGTCTTACAGATCTGTGGAGTGGTGAACCTGCTCACACTAAGAATGCATGGTTTTTCAAGGCATTTTTTTTTTTTTTTAGCAAATTGGTTTAATGCAATACTGTGAGACATTCTAGGGAAAAGAAATGACATCTCCATGGAGATGTGCGAACAGCACAACCCCACCTGAAAAGTTACTGCACTTGCTATTTCTTTTGACTGAATTAATTTCTCATTATGTCATTGTCATTGAAGAAAAGTGAACAAAAGTAGACAAGCAGCAGCAGTAGTAGTAACAGTAATTGTAGTAATAGTTAGTAGTGGTAGTAGTAGACCTATAGTTTATTTTTAATATTTATTCATTTTTATGTAGGCTAAAAATGTATCTTTTTGTAAACATATGAGGACCCAGTTAGTTAGCTAACATTAGCCTTTGTGTACATCAGTTGCTTTGGAACACAGCCCTAGTTACGCATGGCGGTAAAAAAAAAAAAAAAAAAAGTCAAACCTCTTCCAGGCGCAGGTCTTCGTACCAGTTCCCGACCTTGGCACGGCGTGTCCTCAGCAGAGCCATATCTGCAGCAGTGAAAACCACAGTGACGGAGATAAATAGTTTTACAGTTTAAAGATTAAACTTGTGTGGTTTGTGTGAGGCTCAGTCTGTGCTCAGGACTGAAGCAGCGTGGTGTGGACGTGTCTCTATGGCAACCCACGTCGGCCACTCACACGCGACCAAACAAAGCACGTGACTGGTGAGACGCTAATCTTGTGCAGGAAATAAAAAATAAAATAAAAAAACAGGAATTATTAGTTGTAGTAATCATGAATTAATTGTAATTATATTATTGTTAATTATTATTTTTGTTATTATTATTATTATATTGTTCTATGGTAGCAATTTAGTGTTTTAAATTGAATTAACTATTATTGTTAATGTATTTTATACCTTGAGAAAGACCAATATAATCAAGGGTAGTTATTATTATGTATAGATCATGGATACAGTCTATGGACCCATGTTGCTTGCGCAGCAGATGACTGTATCCTGCCACTAGATGGGGTTATTGTACTCGATGTACAAATGTAAAATTTCTGTAACGTTAGTTTTATATATATATATATATATATATATATATATATATATATATATATATATATATATATATATATATATATATATATATATATATATATATATATATATATATATATATATATATATATAACTTTGTTATATAGTAGTCATAGTCATTTTGTATCAATATTCCATCAATATTTCTATTTATAACTAATTCTAGTTTTCCTTTTTCATTAGGATTATGTGGGAATTTCAGAAAGTAATGATAACCTGAGGGTATGGCATTCAAAATGTTTAAGTGACAAAGAAAAATTCACTTCTCAAGTCTTTTAACTGTCAAATAAATAATTATTCTAGATAAATAATTCCCCTGTCAACACAGTTTTGCAATTTTTGGCTGTAACAGTTTCATTATTTCAATTGATTCAATTGATTGTTGTGTATGGAGAGAAATTATAGACTTATCAGTTTCCAAGCTTTTTGTGTCTGCTTATTGCAAATAACATCACGTCGTGATGTTTATTTTCTAGAATGCAGAAACAAGACTGCCAGTGATGGTTACATTGTTTTGGAGCCCCAAGTATCATTGTTGTTTTCTTTATTTGGGGGTTTAACCAAGTTGATTTCCTGCTGCAATTAATAATTTCTACAAATTTGTAGCCCAAGATATTTTATTTTGTGTTTGATTGGAATGATTTTAATTTCTGACTCCTCTCTTTTAGCATGTGCAAGCTAGTTTAGCATGGCACCAGAGGGTCCTCACAGTTGGAGAAATAAAGCTTTGATCTTATACTCAAATGAATCTCCACCACTTTGCTGTGTTTTAACACTTATAAACACACCTCTACAACCCTTACCTCTGCACAGATTTGAATTTTCAAACTACTTTAAAAACATGCATTTTTACAACGACAATGAATGTGGTCACCTCTCCACAGATGAGACCTGTAATTTGGTCTTGACCTGCTTGTTTCCATGGAGATAGATGCCCTATGGCCTCATGGAGACCAGGGAGTACAGCACTGGTCCTGTGGGTACACTCACATCAAAGGCTCTGGAAGGAGCACTGTAATGGTTCATGGCTAAGAGGAAAGAGGTGCATATTCATCCATTTGTTCACTGACACTGGCAATTTTTTTGAAAAGCATCTCCATGGAGACAAGCAGGTCTCCCATCCCATCAGAAAAGTTACATAATGCCCCTTTAAGTAAATTGTAATAAAAAATACAATGTACATGTACTTGAAAAATATTTAAAAAATAACAAATGACATAGGCATTCCAAGTTGACTTTCTGTTTATTGAATGATTTCCATCCATTCTTTCAGGGTGGTCTTCTGATCAGCTCCATCTTGTTCTTCATCTTCTGGAGACATGGTTGTCAAGTCTTTAACTGAGGAATGCAGGTCCTTGAAATTAAAAAAATCAGGACAGACACAAGACTCAACTCAGCTATAAGACTTTTATTGAAATTGTTTAGCTTTTATTGAAATTGTTTAGTTAAATTAAAAATTTCAGTAATTTTAGTAATTTAATCTATTTGTATTATAATCTATTTACATTTTAATTAATAGTTATAATATGTATAAATATACTCTTTCCAGATTAACTCAAATAGGCTACAATTTTAAACAATGTAACATTTTAACAATTAATTTTTAATCTTAAATATAACTTATTTTTTTAAACAATTTTAAATGACTAGATATATTAAACAAATTTAATATTTTATTATTTGAAATCAATTTTTAATGAATTAATAAATAGCTTTTGATTGCTGAATAATATAAACTTTTTAAAATTAGTGCTACTTGGGAAGACTAATACATTTTATTGACTTTTATTGAAATTGTTTAGTTAAATTAAAATTTTCATTAGTAATTTAATCTATTTGTATTATAATCTATTTACATTTTAATTAATAGTTATAATATTTATTAATATACCCTTTCCAGATTAACTCAAACAGCCTACAAGTTTAAACAATGTAACATTTTAACAATTAATTTTTTATATTAAATATAACTTTTTTATTTTTTTTTATTAGTATTTTATTATTTGAAATAACATTTTAATGAATTAATAAATAGCTTTTTATTTCTGAATAATATAAACTTTTTAATATTTGTGCTACTTGGGAAGACTAATACATTTTACACCATTAACCATAAATTGGATTATATTTAAACAAATGCCAATTAGAATCAATTATTCAATTTAACTTTTAACATTTTAAGAACTTAAATTTTATTTATTTATTAGCCTCCTTCTTAACTTAAATTTGAACATTTCATAAAATTTCTTAAGCCTTCTCATTGTACTACTTAAATTAAACAGAATATTAATTTTACATATAAATTAAGACAGATCATATTTTATATGGGTCTTAACACCATTGTCACTCTACTTAAAAACTAATTTTGCAGGTGAATTTCCTCACTGGTAGTGTTTCTGTGTGTTTTCCCTGCCTGAGTGTGATTTGCCTGCCTGAGCACTTGGGCCTAAGTAACTAAGTGCAGCACGACACTACCAGATAACCTGTATTTGTGGCGCCATCTACTGGCCAGACTAGTAATAAACTAATAAACTAATAAAGGGGGGAGGAGAGGAGAAGTGAATGGATTTAGGAGTGGAGGTGAAGACTAGGAGCAGAGGGACTGGGCTTTTTGACTTGACAATGGTTCTTCTCCTCAGCTTCATCACATCAATGCTGATCAACTTCATCTGTTGTTCTGGAGACAGGTTTTTCTCGACAGCTTCATCAAATCTCAGGTCCACCGGGCTCAGCTGGCCCCTCCAAACCAGTCACCATGGGAACAGAAACAGAAACAGGGTTAAGGCATGTGCACATTCAATATAAGATACTATTCAATAATTATTTCTTACCTAAGGTTTGTTTATTATCATAAGAGTCAAATAATTTTAATAATTTAAGATGACTTAGAACAAAACATCTAAACCTAGAGAAGCAGGGACTGGTCCACCAACCAGAGAGTCAGTGAACACACTCCCATCTATGCATTTACAATTCTTGACAGTACAATTCTTTACAGTACTTAATTAAAAACAAAAACAAACAAACAAAAATACACAATGTAAATACTTTCTCAAACAAAACAGCTATCATTCAGTTACAGTTGAGTCAGAACAATTACAGTCATTCAGAACAACCAAAATCACAATTTCTGAACAGTATTCACATACTGTTTACAAAAGCTTAGAATTAATGAAGTACATGTTTCATTATGTATTTTTTTTACCATCACATAAGGCCATTTAAACAAACAAACAAACAAAGAAACAAAAAACAAACAAAAAACAAAAAAAACAAAAAAACAACAACAACAACAAAAAACAGGAAAAGGGAGTGTCCCACTAACCTGTGAGTTAGTGAACAAACCCACATCTCCATTTGCAATCTTTCAAAACAGTACAAGTCTCCAGAGAGGCTTATAGTAAAATACATAGAGCATTTGATTTGATTTGAAGCAGCATGTTACAATCCAGCAGTACAATGTGAACATCAACAGGAGATATGAGAGAACAAAACCACATCTCCACACTTTATTATTATTCACTCTTAGTTATTATGATGAAATGTGCAGTTGTTGAGAATATGGCCTCACTGCCTTAAAGCTCTATATAATATACTTTTATGGTCTTTTATTTTTGTCTTTTTTTGTCTTTTTTGTCTCACACAGTTAGCAGTTGTACTACTTAATACTATAAAACACACCATCCTATGCCCAGAAAAGTAAAAGTTTAAAGTAAATGCAAGGTGTACTATGCAGGAATTTCTGTCAAACTGTAATAGTCAAGTAAAATTTTACATTAATTAGATTTTAGTTAGTAAAAGAAAGTAAAATGTATTATTATTATTATTATTATTATTATTATTATTATTATTATTATTATTGTTTGCTTGTTGAAATCCTACATAGTATTCCTTTATTTTTTGTACTTTTTGCCACACAAAGCTATTACTACTACTAATAGTAATAAAAATAAAAGACTATAAAACACACTCTCATTTCTGACCCTCCTATGCCCAGAAAGTATAAGGTGTACTATGCAGGAATTTCTGTAAAACTACAGAACTCAGATTCAATTTCAGAATAAAAATTACAGTTAACTCAACGAGAAAAGGTTATGTTTTATCATCATGTTTGTTGTTTTATGAAATCCTACATAGTGATCCTTAACTTCAATCTATTCATTTTAAATCAATCAATCAAGAAATCAATCAATAAATTAATCAAGAAATCAATAAGAAATTAATCAAGAAATCAATCAAGAAATGGGATGATGGGCGTGGTTTAAGGTGGTAAAAGTCGCCGCATTGAGCCAAGCCCTGAGTCTCAGAGGCTGAGTTCAGTCCTCGTCCGACTCAGAGTCTTGGGGCAGGTGGAGCTGGTGGTGGTACCAGAAGCGTCCAGACGTCCCAGAAGAGGTGGAGGGGCCTGGGTCGGAGGTGGAGGGGCCTGGGTCTTAGGTGGAGGGGCCTGAATCGGAGGTGGAAGGGCCTGGGTCCGAGGTGGAAGGGCCTGGATCGGAGGTGGAGGGGCCTGGGTCCGAGGTGGAGGGGCCTGGATCGAAGGTGGAGGGGCCTGGGTCCGAGGTGGAAGGGCCTGGATCGGAGGTGGAGGGGCCTGGGTCCGAGGTGGAGGGGCCTGGATCGGAGGTGGAGGGGCCTGGGTCCGAGGTGAAGTGTTGGAGGTGGAGAGGCACAGTCGCTTGGACCGGGGGTCTTCCTCGTCTTCATCATCTTCATCCCTGGCACACTTGCATTTGCGGAGGGGAATGAAGTCCAGACCAGGACTCACAGGAGGAGGGCAAGGAGCAGGAGAAGAGCCAGATGTGGTGGAGAGGAGTTCTCTGAAGGCCAGGGAAGGTCTCCCTTCATTCCTGTCATGCTGGCTAGGAGCAGGTGCCAGATGCTGAGGAGACAGGACCAGCTCCTGCTGGAGACGAACGAAAAAGTCTTCATCCTCCTCCTCTTCAGAGACACTTCCAAAGCCAGAGTCTGCATCGCTCCAGTCCTCTCCATCACACCACCTAAACTGGGGCCTAGGACCACCTAACTCAAACTCACCCTCGTCCTCGTCCGAAGAGTTTGCTTTCCTCCACACCCGATCCAGAAGGTCCACACGGTCCTCTGGCACAGATTTGACAAAGTTAAACACCCTTTAAAATTGTAGCTGGAGCAAGTCAGACTAGTACCACAGGCTGTAATAACTTATTCTACTACTATTACTACTACTACTACTACTACTACTACTACTCACAGTTATTTAAGTAACATATAACATATATGAAGAGCCCTATGGTGTGTATCTGGAGGAGCCAGAGTTTGCAAGGCTGATTTGTTATTTTGATGTTTGTGTCTAAACTGATAATAGGTTTATGACATTTGGGGAGGTATGATTGGGAGGAACGGCCTCAATGATCTGAACCCGAGCAGTGTTTTGTTATTGGACTTCTGTGCTAGTCACGGTTTGTCCATAACGAACACCATGTTCGAGCACAAGGGTGTCCATAAGTGCACGTGACCCTAGGACGGAGGTCGATGATCGACTTTCTAGTCGTGTCATCTGATCTCCGGCCGCGTGTCTTGGACACTCGGGTGAAGAGACGGGCTGAGCTGTCACCTGACCACCACCTGGTTGTGAGTTGGGTTCGCTGGCGGAGGAGGAAGCCGGAAAGACCTGGCAGGCCCAAGTGTGTATTGAGGGTCTGTTGGGAACGTCCGGTCAGTCTTCGTTCCTACTCTCACCTATGGTCATGAGCTCTGGGTAATGACCAAAAGGACAGGATCGCGGATACAAGCGCTCGAAATGAGTTTCCTTTGCAGGGTGGCTGGGCGCTCCCTTAGATATAGGGTGAGGAGCTCAGTCACATGGGGGGAGCTCGGAGTAGAGCCGCTGCTCCTCCACGTCAAGAGGAGCCAGTTGAGGTGGCTCGGGCATCTGTTCCGGATGCCTCCTGGGCGCCTCCATATGGAGCTGTTCCGGGCATGTCACACTGTTTGGAGGCCCCGGGGAAGACCCAGGACACGCTGGAGGGACTATGTCCCTCGGCTGGCCTGGGAACGCCTCGGGGTGCCCCTGGAGGAGCTGGAGGACGTGTCTGGGGTGAAGGAAGTCTGGGAGTCCCTGCTTAGACTGCTGCCCCCGCGACCCGGCCCCGGATAAGCGGAAGAAAATGGATGGATGGATCATTAAATTAGGGCCGGGTCCGTGCGTGGTTTTACGTGTAGCCTCAAAGATATAGTTTGGCCAATGAAGAACAATACTATAATCCTTTGAAGTGAATTTATTCAAAAGGGCCCTGCGCTGCGTAAAGCACGATTATTTGGGAGTGGCATATAGCCTACTCCTCGAGCGTGTCTTGTTTGTCCAAACTGTCATTGATGCACCATAAATTGACCAGAAATTTACACCTTTACCCACTAGTCTAGGTGCACAGGTGCACAGTAGTCTATGTTAATACTTATTTGCCTAATCTAACCTATTTGTTATAGGCCTGCCATTAAAACTGTCACTCTAAGCCCACTAAAGTAGCTTAAGGTGGGGAACGTGGAAGATTAATTGATTAATATTTTATTTCAAGTTCATTTAGTATTAGTGTGTAAATTCAGAAATTTAAACTTTACTGATTCGTGAGAGAAATCAATCATATAATAATAATAATAATAATAATAATAATAATAATAAAGCGTAAAAATTGCCTTATACATTATTTCAGAATAGGCCTAATTAATGTATGATTTTAATTGATTTCACCAGACCACATCTCTGCCAACACCACTACAGAGACCAGCACTTTAAACAGCAAGAATGAGCCGAGTCATCATTTATTTTCCATTATCAGGGATCAATATGGCCTATGGGAGCCTATAGTCAATATTGTCCTGTCAGCTTTACCAAAACACTGCTTCGTAATACATTCCTCCACTTCGTTCCTAGAAAACAGCACCGCTCCATCCTTCGGGCCGATGTTATGCCATAAATGCCATTAATGTTCGGAGCAACCTCGTCTCTCTTCGGGGTTTTCCGGAGACACTCGGGCCTCGCCTCTGCTCCAGACCGCGCCCTCCTCCTCCGTCTCCTCCCTCTGCACTTGTCCGAGCCAAAGCGCGCTGACCGTGAACCGCATCCCAGATTCGCCCCTGCTCCGGCGCATATGAGGACCGTCACCTCTTCTTCAAGCTAAATCTCTTACTCCTAACTATTTTTAAAAGCCACATTTCAAGATGCTGCCTTTTAAGCGAACTTTCGAGCCGGAGAAGCGCCAACTGCAGGAGCTCAACTGCAGATTGGCTCAATATTTAAACCGGACAAAGCAACTGGAGCAAGAAAACGCGAATCTAATTAGAGAAATAAGCGAGCTGAGGCAGACTAAGACCGCGCAATGGGAGCCCCAATACAAAGCCGAGATGCGGGACTTGAGGCGGACGGTGGAGCAGCTGTCGTTGGAGCGGTCCCAGGCGGAGATGGAGAGGGAGAAGCTATGGCTAGAGTTGCAGACCGTCCAGGCACTTTGCAGCGAGCAGACGGGCGTGTGCCGGGACATCACGGGGGAGCTCCGGGGATGCGAGAAGGAGCTGACCGTGGCCCACAAAACAAACGCGGAGCTGCAGCAGAGACTGGTCCAGCTAGAAGAGGAGTGCAGGCGGTTGGAGGAGGCGCACAAGCAGGAGATACTGCGACTCAGGTGGGCCGGGAGTCACTGGGACCATCATTGGGTATAGTTGTCACGATAACACGTTTTGGAATGAGATAGGCCTATATGCTACAGAAAATATCTTGATAAATGAACAGATTAAAACCACTTGTTGCCACTGACGCAATAATTCTAAAGCAAGATAATCCCATTAAACCACTTTAAATGTCCTGTATTACGCAAAATTGACTCCTGTGAGCTTTATGGGATGTTAGAATGTTGTTACCTCCTCAAAAACATACCAGAGTTTAGTCGACTATACGGTCCTAATATGGTATCAAAATGATCTATCTAGCCTTTTTTCAATTACAGACACAAAACAATAGCCTATGCTGAAAACATGCATTCTCTCTCTGGTCACTGCTCCACAGACCTGACCTGGTGATGTCTTCTGCTTGTCTCCATGGATATGTTTAATACCTCACTGTGAAACTTTCCAAGCAAAGCAATAACATCTCCTGAAGACAAGCAGCTGGCAAACACTCAACCGAAAATGTTACCCAGTGCATTTTTAACATGAAACATTGGTCCATCTCTCTAGGCAACAGGTGGAGACCCGGATGACCCCCTCTCACTACATGAGTGTCCAGAGCTCCCGTGGGCCCCTGCTCCCTTCTGTCACTGTGGAGGACGTCCAGGACTACGCCTTTGGGCTGTCTGAGGGCTGGGTCAGGACCTTTGACATGTACCAGCAGAAAGTGGAGGAGATGGAGAGGGCCATCAGAGAGGACCAGGCACGCATGTGTGACCTCCAGAGAGAGAAAGAGATGTACGCCACTCAGCTGGAGAGGCTCCGAGCCCAGGCTGAGCAACAGGGGCAGGAGCAGATGAGACTGGAGCAGGAGATGGTCAGCATGCAGGAGAAGTTCCACCTGGACTGTGAGGAGTATCAGGTAAATGAGAGGCCAGAGCAGGGCTTGTACTAAGGCTGCAGTCATATTTGTCCTGGTTTGACACTGACATGCACTCACTCTGTCACACGTGCAGACGCACACAGGCACACTGTACAAATCCCCTCTATGTGTTGATAGATAGACGGGGCGTTGTGAGGGAAGACTGAGTGATTGGTCTCTGGGTTTTCGCTGGCTGTGCTGGCACTGCTGGCACTGCTGCTCTCCCTCTCTTCACAGAGTTGTTAAGTGTGATGTCACCTCAGGGTCTAAGACAGGCAGAATAATGGGAAAAATAAAACAAAAAACAAAAACAATGCTAGAAAAGCTGTGAAGTTGCCAGTTGAACCCAGAAATGACATCATCACATAAGAACTCTACAGGTTTAGAGTGCTCACTCTGTCACAGACTAGAGCTTGTGGAGAAATAGCCCTGTATTCACTGCAAAAGTGCAGAATTCTCTCACTGAGGTGCAGAGGCTGCACTAACACTGATTCATGACTGTGTGCAGGTGCTGGGGTGTAGGTAGTGACCATTCAGCTCAGAGAGAGCTTTTTTGGTTTAGGCTGGTTTAAACTGGATTTCAGTATTGAAACTGGCAACCCCAATGTCTGTTTGGGCACTGCTTCTATGGAGTCGTATTGGCTTCACCATCTGAGACATTGACATATTCATAAAAATAAACTCTATTTAAAGCAGTGGTCAAGGAGGATGGTGAGAATCAGCTCTAAATGGAAACACATGGTTACATAATAAGCACAATGTTCCTTTACCCTTGAGCGGAGAGAGGGAGGGGCCAGTCCCTATGAGGACACACCCACAGATGCTCCACAGCTGGCTCCTGCTCCAACTCAATAATATTCAAGAAGACATTTTGTGGTTTATGAAAGCTTTTTAAAATATTTCAAAACCTTTGCATTCATATTTAATGTTCTATACCTCAAAAGTAAAAGAGAAAAAGTTGACCAGCAGTTTTTCTTTCCTACAGGGCTAAATTAAGGGAGCAACATAATAAGAGCAGCAGGTAGACACTCTAGACTGAAGGCAACATGATCTATTAGGGCCTGATATGGATTTTACCGATAAGATGGGAGCTGGAGGTGCTGATAGCCAATATGAAAGCCAATATATTTAGTGATGTAAAAATTCACTTTAATTGATTGTAAAACTTAGGTCTGGGCCTACTGGATTTTATATTGGTTTTATATTGGTTTTGTCTTTACTACATTTACTATTATTCTGCCTCTTTACAGTCATATTTAAAGACAGTAGGTTGGCCTACTGGCATTTATGCATGACAGTCTAGACAGTAAAGTAAGTAAAGTAAACCATTGCTATTAGCCTTTAGCAGTAAATGCGTGTGTTCCGTGGTAATTAATTATATGCGTAAATGCCGATCATCAGCCACTACTGTCACTTTACACTAACCCGAACCATAATGTAAGAAAAAACAGGCTGTTTATGTGTGGTATCTTACAGCAGCTAATTGCTAAACCAACACATTTGCAACATTCACCGCTCACATAGGCACTTCTTAGATCACAAGCCTTCACAAATAAGTGTCCTTTTAATCCTGACTCAAAACAATCATCCATAAAAATATTATAATCCAGCATGCTGACAGCAGCTGTGTGTGTCCTCTGTCAATGGGGACATTTCTTTCTCTATGGGACGGTCCTCTTTTCTCCACATTCACACTTTGAGAAAAACAAGCAGTAGTTTTGTTGCTGGCCTAAACTGCACTGAAGTTCACTTTTATTTTTAGTCAGTATCTTAGATCAGACGCAAGAACATTTAAAACAGGCCTCAGTGTTGCGCACGTGGATCTCTAGCTACACACAGGTGTAAACAAGTCAACGTGAGTGATGTGACTCTGGGGGTGCTTTCAGGGGCAGTACAGCGACACAGACAAATTACTCCGCAGATAAATATTGATGCAATACTACATATTAGGACATTTATCTGTCTGTAAATTGAATTAAATTGACATAATTTAGAGAGTCTATGCCCACGTAGGCTATCAGCCCATAATTGCAAGATTTAAGCCGATAGCTGATATGTCTTCAAGTGCCCATATTGGCCAACTGATAAATTGATTGGGCCCTGTGATCTATACTGTTGTTTTGTTAATTTCTTTCATGTTTGAATAATCTTTTAGTTTGTACTTTGTTCTGCTCTGCTGCTCTACATAAGACTACCCCCATCTCCAAGTGCTACTCAATTTTTTTAAAGAGGGGTGTGGGGTGAAACTACTGCACATTGCGTTAGGTTTGTGAAATTGTAGTGTATTGTTTTGTATCATGCATTTGTATATTTATGGAAAATTGTGTGGAAGCATGAGTGACATATGCTTGTGGGCTGAGCATTGGACAGGATTGTACTGCTAACCATAAATCGCTCAGGCATACATGGATAACATCATAAACCTTTTCAGGCTTGTTTTTGATGATGGAACAACATTATAACATGGTAGGAAGTTTCCAAAAGTCTATTTTTAAAGTCTACACACCTTCACTAGACTCTCAGCCTTGGACATAATGTTGCCAGTCGAGACAGTAGTAGATGTTTATGAGTTAAATACAGACAGCACACAGTCATCTAATTTTGCCCTAAGAGCTGCATTCATAATTCATAAGACAGATGTTACTTTATTAAATAAAAAATACTGAATACTGGTGCAGCTCTTATAACTACTCTACAAATGTTACTGGGGTGCAAGATTACTTTATACAATATGGCAAAGTCTCATTGCTAGTATGAGTTAATAATATGAGTAATTCCGGTGGATTTGGGGAAATGGAGACATCCAACATTGACCTGAGCTACTCCTCCTTCTCCTCATCTTTCTCCTCCTCCTCCTTCTCCTTCTCCCCTTCTTCCACATCCTCCTGCTTTACTCTTTACTGGCCTCTACATCGCAGCAGCACTTGTTATTAGAAATCGACTGATATGGGTTTTCTCATGACCGATGCAGTACGGATTGTATAGAATCCAAGCGCAACTGATGGCCGATAAGCTCTGCCAATATTTTTAGGCTGATATGTAGGGGCCGATTTTTATTATTTTGCCCAATTTATGCAATTTAAATTTACCAAAAACTCACCCACAGCTCACCGTAACTCTGTAGTAGAGCAGCAGTTTTCAGCAGTTATTTCTTTGCAATAAAGTGTTCAAATTAAGCTGTGTGGGTAAATTTAGGCAGCAGGTCATCCAAAACAGAATACTGGCCTGTGCTGAAGGTTTAAGGCCGATAGCTGATACGCTAAAAAGTCAAAATATTGGCACGGTAGATCGGCCAAGTGGTCTATCTCTACTTGTTATGTGAAATGGAGGTGTCCTGGAGTTGACCTGAGCTGCTAAAAGGCACCTCCTCCTCTTCCTCCTCCTCCTCCCATAGTTCTGCTTTTTACTGGCTCCTCCATCTCAGCTGCACTTAAACCTATTAGCCCCGCACACACAGACTGACAAATCCCCATAAGCTTCACCATAGAGCCAGGCAGGGCAGGGCAGGCACAGGCAGGAAGAGAGGCTGCAGCTAAGAAGAGAAACTATGTGATTAAGATATTGTATAGCTAATAATGTACAAAAGAGGAAAAGCAAGTATTGAATGTTTTGAAGTAGGTTTTGTAAAAGTGACATGGTGGTGTAATATAACTGGACATTGAACAGAGGAGTCGTAGTGAATAAACAGGCAGAAAGCTAAGAGTGGAGCTGCCAAACATCTGATGTGTAGGTACAGAGCTGTAAAAGGCTTTTGTAATTTGCCATGGACTTAGTATTCTGCACACATAATAAAAAAGATGTTTCAATATACATATTTAACACTTTAAAGAAGACATTGTGCATGTGTCCACTATATAGTTATAATCTATGTCATCATTTGAATTTTTTTTTTTACTTTGTGCAAAAATGGCTACACAATGCTGACAAATCCTATGTGTATCACTGATTAAGAAAATAAAGCTGGAGAAGGAAGTAAGGACATAGCAGTGTGCTTGTAGCGGTGGCAGTGAAACAGGGGTAGATCAGAGCAATGACGCCTTATACATATATAAGAGTATAGGAATACAGGAGAATATATGTTACTCAAATGTGCATGAATCACACTTTCACAAATACAACATCAGGGGGTAAATGATAAGAGAAACAATTATAACCTGGCTAAAAGCTCTGAAAAGTTGATTTTGCAGAATAGGCCCACTTTAAAGCCCCACCGTGGAAGTAAAAGTGTTTTTTCATTTCAGATATTTTTATTGCACTGAAAAACATATAAAAACTTGCATCCTTGCTGTGAGTAGGCTTGCATTTCCACAAATCCTATTTGGTCTGGAGGAGGGCATCCTCCTACTTGTTTTCATGGAAGTATTGTTCTTATGGCTATAATATCACACAGTATGTCATAAAACTTTTCCATCTCTATGGAGAATGTTCCAAAGTATGGTTTTAACTTTTTATTTCCACGGGATCATGCAGATGTGATGATGTGCTGCCTCTAGAATGTTACACATGAGTATGTGGAAAGTCCTTGTCCTTTTTTACATCTGTGTTTCTATATTGTATCAACTCTCAAAAACATTCAAAACAGATTGGCAATTCCAGAGCTAAAATTAACCAAATGATTCTAGTGATGGTGTATGGAGTTAAAAACACAATGGAGAATTTCTTGTATTACAACATGACATCAAAAGGTGGAACAGATTGTTTTCTGTATGAGAGAAGAACGCAGACTAAATATGCAGGGTTTGTGTGTTAAACGTGTGAATAAATGTTCGGTATTGTACTGACTCTAAAAACAGGTCTGTTTATTTGTGCATGTCAGATGGTGATCGATCGGCTGCAGAGGGAGAGAGAACTGATGGCCCACAACATGGAGCAGAAGATGCTAGAACATCAGCAGCTCCTTCAGCTTAAGATGGACCTGGGGCTGGAGCTGGCTGCATACAGGTCAGAAGATACACCACACAGCTCATACATGTGCAGGTTTACTTCAGGTACAAACAGGTCAGTGGTGGGAAAGTACTGAAGGTGTATATTCCAGTAAAAGTACAGTTACATGGCTAAAATATACTGCTGCCACATATGCACTCAAGTAAAAGTGCAAATGAAAAATACTACTCATTATGCTAGTTAGTTTTAATGCAATTTTAGTGCAGTTGTTTCAGTCAAATAAAAAAGATGATTTAAACAGTTCAATCAAGGTGTTTTAAACCAACTCAGGGTTTTGGTGATTTGGCAGTGCAGTGCTGTTTTGTGTTTATTGTGCAGAAAGGAGCAAAGACAGATGGGCCAAATAAGAGTGAGAGCTGTATTCAGTATGGGTGATTTTCTTTGAGCCAGATTCGACTTGAGCGAGATCGATTCTACCATGATTAATTTAGATTTAGTTATTTTACAATACCTTTAAGTTGTAAATAAAGTAATCTGCTTATTCTGAGAGTTCATACTTCACTATGACTATTACTATCCTTAGGGAGGCTGACCAATAAGATTCAGTCAGTAAGAGGTATGGGTGGGAAAGATTGTTGGTGTATTAAACAAAATTATACTAACTAGTACATGTTTAACATTCTACTCAAAAAAGTACAGCTACCCCCAAAATCTACTCAATTAAAGTAACAGGAGTATTTGAGTTGCTTTCCACCCTGCAAATGATACACAGAAAGGGCACTAGTCTAACATACAGGTCACAAGACAAAGGACATTTAATCCAGATGCTGGTTATTTCGGGAAGGGCATCTGACGAACTATAAATGTTTTGGTAGAACATTTGTACGTGTAGTTAGGGATGGATGACATGGCAAAAACATATTCACAATCTCCTTTCTCATATTGATCAGTCCCATTTTTTGGATTAGATGAAAAACAAACAAATAGTATAATAATATTTTACATTAACATACAAAACACATGCTTTTACTGACAGAAGATTGGCTGTAGACCTCACCATTAAAAAGACATTGACTGATCATATTGAATCTTGATTTGATTAAAATGTGACTAATGGCACAGCCCACCTTGTAGTGTCATAGGCAATATCTCTGGACTGTTGCTAATCCAGAAAGAATGACATAAAACAGTAGGGCACTAAAGATTGATTTCAGTCCTAATTAAGGCTGAAACTAATTGTTCTGTCAATAATTCATGATTCATGTGTGAATGGCAGCTGGTCATGAGAGTCTACATGAAGCTGCCAGTTCCATAGATTTACTGCTCTGTGTTGGTCATGTACTACTACTCTCCGGGCACAGTGCATGTTACAATATCTGTGTACTGTATATGTAATTACAAAGTCCAATCAGTTACTTTTTACACTGCACATGTTTTTGGGGACAAAATATGAAGTGCACATTAAAGGCCCTATATTACACAAAATTGACTTTTATGAACTTTACGCCATGTTAGAATGTTGTAACCTCCTCAGAATAGACCTGGAATTGTGTTTTGTTTCATTCACACGTTTGAGTAATCCTTTATTATTGTCTGCCTATATCTCCAAAACTTAAAAGGCTCTATTGCACCTTGTGATGTTATGAAGTGGTAGTTTTCAGGTTAACTTTTTACTTTTTGTTCAGTAGAAATGGGCCATTCCAGGGTTGAAATGATCCAAATGATTGTAGTGAAGATGTGTGGAGCTTAAAAACACAGTGGATCCCGTATTACCAAATGACATCACAAGGTGGAGTAGAGTTTTCTGTTTGAGAATTTAGCCTAAGTGGTCAGGGTTTGTGTGAAACAAAACACAACTCCAGGTATGTTTGTGATGAAGGAACAACATTATACTATAGATCAGGAATGATGACACTGTGTCCATATATATATATACAGTCAGTGGTCTCTCAAAGTTGTAAAAAGCGCTTTTAACGTCAGTGCAGTGAGTTCAAATTTGTTTAATTTGTTTTAATTTAACTATTCACATTTTGCCTAAGTTGTGTACATTTATACTGTAACTACTGCCAATACAAAAATCACTTTACCATCTAGAGGTAAATGTACGTGTGTCCTAGCATGGCACATTCCTTGTTTATGGAGTTGTTCAGTATTGGGACATGCCTTCACTGAGTTACGACCTCTGCTCGTGTGGTCTGCGTCAGCATGGGTCTATATGGAATTCACACTGACCTGTCAACTGACCACCCCACTGCCCACAGTACTGCCCAGTATATACTCCTGTCTACCACAAGCACGCTCAGTACTGCCTGTCGGACTGCTTCATGGGAATCTAGTTTGGATTATTTTGTTTAATTTTGTCATATCCAAACACGGTGAGCTTGTTCAACCTAATTACAACATCTATTATTCGACATTTGTTATTGTGAGAGCATATGCCTTAAAAGGTGAAATTCTTGACTTAGTAGGCGATAGGGGGAGAGGGTTGAGATGGCCGATGCGGATGAGATACTGCGATTTGTGAGGTAATCCTTCATGTTTGAGGCACTGCTGTAAATTTTAAGTTTGTTCAAAGTATATTTTTGTGTGTTTTTCCAGGGCGCTTTTGGAGGGTGAGAGGGTCAATCTGGAGGAGTCTCAGAGGAGGGCGAACCAGTCGAGAGAAAGAGTCATAGGTATTTATGAAAGATTTATTTGTGTTTATATAAATGATTGTTCATATTAATATTTGCTAACTTAAAGAGAGGGTATTATAAGATTGTTCCTTCATCAAAAACATGCCTGAAGAGATTTTAGATGTTATCCATGCGTGTTTGAGTAATCTAGTGATCTCTCCTGGTCACTATTTGAATCCTCCTTACGGTTAGCAGTACGAGTCTGTACAAAGCTCAACCCACAAGCCTACGTCAAATAGTTTTCCATAAATATACAAAAGCATCATACAAAACAATACACTACAACTTGGCAAACCTGATGAGATGTGCAGTAGTTTCATTTGTGGGATGTACTGAAAGCGTTCTGAAGGGCGAGTGACACTGAAAAACAAAACTGAACTGGAAGGACATCAAGATGCAAAAATCAGCCAAAACAAAACAGTTACATAGAAGAGCTTGTTCCTGATGCATAGCTGAATCTAAAAATAGTGCTAATTTTCAACTCAATTTTCTATTGTAGTACACTTCAATATTTAATACTAAAACTAGCCTTCCATTCACATTCTATATAGTCTATAGACTGTATTTAAAAGTAGAGGTATAACAACAGTGCGAATTGGTGTAACAGGTATCCACACTTCAAACTCAGCCCATGCAGTCAGGTGATTGTAATCAGGGCAGTCCTGTGTGATGTCACATAGTACATGAAACTGCAGTGGCCACTAGAGGCAGCACACACTCAGTTTTGGACTGCTTTTGAACATAAAACTGCAAATTGGCACTAAAATGAGAGGAACAAAAGACAATGCTATTAAAACATCAGATAAAAACTTTAGTAGTTGGTTTAGTGTTTAGTTCCATTTTAAGCTTTTAGCCTTGTTAGAATGTTTTCTTGTCATTCTGATATTTTAAGTACTTTCTTACTAAAGACAAATTATCTTCTTGTCATCTCAGAAATCAAGATGCCCTCTCAGGCTTACTCACCCAGAACCCCCCCCTCAACTACCCGGCTCCACACCGACTTCAGGTCCTCCCCAGCGGCTTCCTCTTACAGAAGACCCCCTGTGCCTAGACCCAGCTCTGGAACCCTCAGCCCCTCTAGGATCGTTCCCATTTCAGTCGCCCGCAACCAGAGCCCAGCTGCCAGGAGGGACATGATCTCCTTCACCAAAGCAAGGGCTGCGCAGTCTTCCACTTCCACTACCCCCTACACCACCAAAGACAAGCAACCAGAGGCTAAACCTGTACCGAAAGTAGCTATACCCACCCACCAAAGTTCAAAAACCCATACAGAAACAAAAGTGCTTAGTGCTACGACAAGCAAAAGGAATGTATCAGAGGGCAGAGAGGAAAGAAAGGCATTTGACAATAGCTTGATGAATGGCAGGCCAGAACAACCAAGCACCAAGAAGATACTGGACACTGTGTCTGTTGAGGAGATGATTGAGAGGGCCATCAAATCAGAAGGCTCAGAAGATTCCGGAGAAACCAAAGTCCGCTATCACATCGAGAAGACCCAGGAAGAAGATGGAACCACCAAAACGCGAATTGTTTTAGAATCGAAGGTCGAAGAGGAGTTGGATGTGTCAAAGGATTCTGATTTGGAGGAATTTCTGCACCAAGGAACCAAGAAGATGTCTCTGGAGGACATCAAGGATACAGCCACAGCAAGTATGATCAAGAATCTGCTAACTGGGATGAAGGAAGGAGAGGATTTGTCGAACAAGTCGATCAATGTTGAAATTATTGAAGAAAAGGTGGAGAGTGTAAGTGATGATGAGGAGGAACCTGAGATCAAGAAGTTAGAGAAACGTTATCAAGAACAAACGTCAACGTATTTTCAGATTGAGGAGTTGGAAAACGCGCCAAGAAAAGATAGCAATGAACAGTGGAAAGAAGGATTGGGTCAAGTTGAGGAGGTTTCCAGAGAAAGCGATTCGTCTTTCATGTCACAGGATAAGGAACAACGAGAGTATTTTGTCTCCACTCCGGATGAGTTCTCGGAGACGGAGGAAGGTGGTGGGATAACATCGTACGGCCATTACGGAATTGTGGATGATCTTTCCGATGAGCGATATTATCAAGACGAGCTTCTCCCACTCAGAGCCACACCCGATGAGGGCAAAGACTACAAGTTCATGACAGGTGATCGCCCGTCGTTTAAGGAAGGTTTTCCGGAATGCATCATTGAGGAAGAGGTTGGTAAAGGATTTTTTTATTTTATTTTATAATTATGTGTTGGGGTTATCCTCATGAAGGTATATTCTGACATTCTGAGTAATTTTCTATCTACTGCAGCACTGTACTCAAAAACATGTTCTCATTTCAAAACGGACTACCTGGCCTTAACCAGGACCAAACCAGGACACAAGAAGCCATAAACTAGGAACGAATCAGGATTAAACCAGGACTAACCCAAGGGAAAACCATGGCCAAAACAGGAATAAACCAGTCTTAATGCAGGACTAAAGAAAGTCTACTATAAACTAGGACAAAGCTAGAACCAAGTCAGGATCAAATCTGACCTAAAACTGGGTTAAGACAGGTCTATACCAGAATAACAGAATAAACACAGGAGCAAACAAATGCCAAGGTCTAAACCAGGTCTAAAGGAGCTCTAGACTGCTTAACCAGGAATGAACCAGGTCTAATCCAGTATTTAACCTAAACTAAACCATAGTCAAACCAGGGCTATACCTGAACAACTAGAGCAGGACTAAAGCAAGATAAGACCAGAAATGAAGGACTAAAGCAAGTTCTTTGAACATTTTTTTTTTTTGACTAAGCCAGGTCTAAAGCAGGATCTAAGAAGAACTAAAACAGGTGAAGACTATAAATCCGAATCATGTAGTAATCAGGTCTAATCCAGGACTAGAGCAGGTCTATACTAAATCAAAATGAAACTAGAACCAAAGCAGAACTAAACCAGGTTGAACCAGATCTTAAACAGGTCTCAAGGCACCACAAACCAGGACCAAACTAAAGCTAAACCAAGATTTAACCCAGTCTAAACTAAGGGTGCGTTCATAAACCACATCAAAATTGGAATTGAACCGGAAACTAAAACAGGACTATAACAGGACCAAACAAGGACTACAACAGACCACAACTTATCTTACAGCAGGCCCAAATCTGCACATAGACTACGTCAAATTTGCTACTAAACTACTAAGAGTCAAAATTTATAACAGGATTAAACCAGGATTAGAACAAGACTAACTCAGGTCCATATCTAGAGTAAACTGAGCTCGAACCAGAACCCAAAAAGGACAAGTGTGAACATACCCTAAATTGGAGCTAAACCTAGAACATAACCTGGACTTGACCTCAACTAACCCAGGAGTGTAATAAGAGTAGTGTTGTCATGATACTAAAATCTCACACTCAATTTCAATACTAAGGAATAGGCTCGATATTCAATACCAATGCTGACACCACAATAATAATATAAAAAACACTATTCATTTTTAGATAATAGAATGTATGTTTTATTAAATAATAGTACTTTCTTTTATATTCCCGTGTGGCCTTATATCTGTGTAATCCCTCAATATTCAAGAAACTGTGAATGGGACTTTTTAGTATGGATACTTGCTTAAATGAGTACCTAGTTTCAATACTAGTTTTAGTATCGATTAGTATCTGTTTTTCATTACTTTTGACACCCCTACAAATCAGGAGCAAACCTGCCACTCAACCTGTCATAAACCAGGACCAAACTAGATATAAACCAAGACTAAACCCAGTCTTAACAGGACTAAATCTGAACCAAATCAGAGTAAAACCCTGTATGAAATTTGAGAGTATATAATGACAGAATGCCTTGTCTGCTGCAGGTTCGAGTCTCACCAATTGTGCAAAATTCTGTTCTGGAGTTTCTTCGTGAGGACTCATTGGAACCGAAAGATCAGCTGCAAGGAGCTCTGGAGACGCTGCAGGAATCCGTGTCTGGCCCTTTGAAGGAGGAGCTGGCCTACCTTACCAAAATCAGCCGCGAGAGCCCTGACAAAGTGGCCGTAGATGTCCGCAAGGTCTCACAGTCCAGCGATGACGGCACCATGACCATCGTAGCGGAACTCAATGTCTCTCAAACCTTGGAAGAGTCCGGCTTGCTGGACGAGAGTGGAGATTTTTCGGAGGAGCAGCTCATGGCAGCTTTAAGAGGAGCAGGTCTGGAGAAGGCGTTGCAGGGCGGAGCCAGTGGAGGGTACAGCATCAAGGTGTCCACAGAGGAGGAGGAGTTTGGGGGCATATCCGAGAAGGACATCATGGAGAAGCTGATGAAAGGAGAGACATCCTACAGCTACAAAGTTGAGGGAGGTTCAGAGGAGGATACGACTGGAGGTGTTGTGAAGGAGCAGAGGATTGTGTATCTGGAAAGTCCAGATGATTAGGAGGACACTGTGGGTTTGTGATAGCACTTAAGGGAGAAGTAATGACTGTGAGAAAATGTTAGCTTCCATGCATTGGAGTTTTTAGCTACTTTGTCAGTTGATGTACATTTTAAAGGTGCACTATGTAACTTTTCTAGTGGAGGATTTGTCACATGCTTGTCTTTATCTATGGAGATGTTATTGCTTTGCCTGGAATTTGTGGATAGGGAACCCAGATCACAGTAAGAATGCATGATTTACAAAGTGTTTTTGAGCAATAAAAACACCTTTAATGGAAGAAAGGCAAGATAGATTATTTTGATATCATGGACGTTTACAGGCAAAGCAATAACATTTCCATGCAAACAAGCAGGTGGCGTAACCTTCACCAGAAAAGTTCCATAGTATACCTTTAATATATCTTAACATTATAGTAAAATTGATCGTTCATAGATACTAATCAGTGTGTCTGTGTCAGTCAGAAAGTGACAAACAAAAAGGCAATATTAAAATAAATTTAAAAAATAGCAAAAGTGAATTAGTAAAACTGGCATACTTAAGATAGCATCTTAAATAATAGAATTTTTTAATCTGGTTATTGAGTGTGATGACATTGCATTAACAATAATTTGATAATATATTGTGCAGTCCTAATATGTAATAGCATGGTTATTAATGGGACAACTTCTAAAATACAGTATGTGATTGCTTTTCAAATCAAAACCAGACCAAACTATTCTTGATTTTTTTCTAACCCTTTTTTTTTTTTTTTTAAACAAAATATAAATTATTATTTTAATTTGCAATAAAAAGAAACATTTCTCAGCTACACATTTAAAAAAAAATATAAATTCAAATTATAAAATGCAGGCAATGGGCAGTTGGTTTGGTAGGAGAGACATGCTGTAAAAAAGTGATGTGTAAAAAATCTTTATTATAGCTTTAACACTGGTGCTTTACTAATGCTCTGAATTTGAACTGACTGTGGCTACTTTTGTGGTGGTGGTCTCCTTGGTTATTGCTTTGCCTGGAATATTCCTCAGTATAGCATTAAACATATTTTTTATGGAATTTATGGCAATTAAAAACACGTTTATTTGAATAAGCGCACTTGAGATACATGAACACAAGCAGGTGGCAGACCCCCTATTAAAACATTAAAAAAAGTTACACAGTTCACCTTTAAATACAGATATTGTAGCAATGCCACATTCTATCTGCTGACAACTCTATGCAGGGGTCTTAAACTTTACTTGGTTCTAGATCGCTAATATATTTTTCTACTAACCTGGTGTACAGCTTAACCTCTGCCTCTGTCTCTGTCATGGCTGCCACGTTTTGATGTCTCACCTAAGCACTGTGCAGCACTTGTAATCATTGTTGGAATGTTATGCACCATATCCATGTCTTCTTATGAGGTCGATTAGTACGTGTTCACTTGACATTACAGCATTTTAGTCTCGGTATAGTTTAAACAGAGCTGGAGGAGAGGTCAGAATACTATGGTGGAATTTGCTGTTCAATAGTCTGATATTTTGACCTGGTTTACGGGTTGTGTCTCTGTAATTATTGGACCTGTCTTCATGAAACAATGATAATAGCTTCAGAAAGTGTGTTCAGAAAGCTTTTTGTCAGTTGAAAGGACCAGAAGATTAATGTGACAACATTTGTGGATAATAATTTTGGAAGTTTCTTTCAAAACAGTGAATCTACCATAGAGTTATGTAGGCCCTGCCCTCCATCTGAAATCATAACAGCAATTCTTACACAACTTATTTCAGTTGAAGTCAGCACAGTTGGGGTCTTAATATCGCTAACACAGCTGGATAGAACAAAATGCAATATTAAAGGTCCCATATTATGCAAATTCAATCAAATCAGACTCTCTTGGAAGTGCTCTTTCTTGCATGTTTTTCAAGTTCATAGGGGGTGGGCAACTGACTTTATCTAGTTTTTCATTATATTGTCTATTGTCAATGTGTGAATTTTATCATCAATGTTCCATATCACTGGATCTGACAAATAAGTTGAGTTTTGGATCTCAATACACTCTATTCTGCAAATCTGCAAAATGAACACTCTGGTATATTAAGTCATATTTGGCTAAACCAAATACCAGAAAATTATTATAAGCAGTAGAGCATAATGTGATATGATATTTCTGGACTGTTTTATAGTGAGATATTAAAGCCACAGTATGTAACTTTTGCCAAAAATAGACTAAAATAAAAACATGTTTATTCATTATGGATGTCTTTATTGCACTGAGCAGGCTTGCATCTCCACAAACCTGACTCTTATTTGGGCTGTGGGAGGGCCTCTACAAAACTAAACTATACAAATTTAAAGATATTCAGTTTATAATTACCACCTCTTTAGTCCAATCTCCCCCATGTCTATCACTGCCTGCTCATGTGTGTTGTCAGTTAGGAGACTCAGCTTTGGTCTTGGACTGGCTCCGGGCTGGTTCCTGACCTGGACTATTTCTAGCCCTCAGGAGCTTAGAGCCAGAGGGACGAGGACTTGATGTGTTTGTGCCAAGACAGATACGTGACTGCAGTCTGCTCCAGTATCATGTAGTGCCCTTTCACCATTATCACCACTGTTCACTGTGTTCACTATTGAAGACAACGCCTGTATGTCTGACACTGATGTGCTCCACTCCTATTCACACGGGATTGTGTCTTTATCATGTTCATCTGGATGTAGAATATATGCACACCATGTTCCACAAATGGTGCCATTTCAGAATGTCTTTAATGAGAATAAAACATGAATGTACACAATGCTAGTTTTGCAGTGTCCTTTTTACATTTTAAATCAATCGAGAATATATTTACATATTGACATAAAGGAACTGTATGTAGCCTGCACTCTTACAGTTTTAAAAATTGAGTCTGGGCTGCTGGTATCTTAACCTGCAGAGGACAAATACAAGTTTTTCTCATTCTCAGTTTATGGATAGGCCATGCCTCATGTGAAAGCTCAGATTAGCTGCAGGTGTTGGGGTTTAGTGAGAGCCAAATGGTTTTAGTTGTAAGATCTGGCAGTAAAAATCAGGCTCATTCGGCTTTAGAACCTAAATACCAATTTATAACATAAAACAGTGTGTCCATCACGTGCAGCGTTTTTGTAACACAGAACAAAGCAGCATTAGAAATGTTATCAGTAAAATCAATATTTGATTGAGTTTGATGTTTTCATATCATAGACTTGGCACACACATATTAAAGAGACATGAAAAGAACATCTGGTGGTGGATCTTTTTGAGTTGAACATTAAAAATGAGGATGTCTGTGCAGTGGGGACATTTACACCGAAAACAAGATAATATGTTACATCTACATTTGAAATGTATATGTTACATCTACATTCATGGTAAGGTGAAAAATATGAAACCGAGCTCCAGCCACATGTCCTCAGGTGTCCTCAGATGTCTTCTAGTGTTCCCAGGTGTCCCTGAGGTGTCCTTAGATGTCCTGATCCTCAAGTGTTCCCAGGTGTCCTTGAGTATACTAAAGTGTCCTTCATATGTCCTCAGATATCGTCAGGGGACAGAGCAGAGGAGTTTAGGTGGACTTTGGTTTGGCCTCGTCTCCGCAGTCTCTCAGACACCTCTGGAGTTCTGCAAATGGAGCAGGACAGTGCATTAGTTGTGGCACTCACACATTCAGACAAAAGTACAACCTAAAGATGTAAGACTATCCAGGTTATCATCATAATCAACTAACTGATTTCTAATTAGTCAAACTTTCTGCATGTGCTCTTTTAAGGAAAGTGCAATGTATTTGAAACAAATACAGTCAAGTATTGTATAGTGTTTGTGTAGGAAAATGTAACCTCTGCCTTTGACCCATCCATCAATACTATAGGGGCAACCTGTCAGCAGCAGTGAGTGATAGAGAGCAGCACCTGGGGACCTCTAGATTTCGGCCTAAGGTGGAGGATTAGCCTGTTGTGTAGGGCTATATTCGACTAAAGAAATTCCTAGTCAAGAATGACAAACAAACATGACTGTGCATGCAACTCTAGCCTATTATAATTAAATAAAGACATGCCCTTTGCATTTATTAAATTACTAAAAGGGAGCATTTTGCCCCCAGTGCATTTAATCATAAAGCATTTTATTGTGCAATAATCAGAAAGTAAACACAAGCAAGCTAGAGGTTGACAAATTTACAGTCACAGCAAAACTTTGCACTGCTCGCTAAGAATTGTGAAATGCGCTTACAAACTTGAAATGAATATAAGGTAAGTAAAGAATAACTTTGTGAACTAGTTCTTTTTTCATATTTTTATGTAAACATCATTAGAACTAAAAGACTACAGCCCTTGTGCTTGTTTTACTTAAGTTCATATTGCCTAAGAAGTTTCTAAATTGATTACACTTTTACACAATGTGCCTTTGTAATGCACTTAAACAAATGCCAAAAGACGTACCGAGCCAACATGTCCACTGCCTTCTGAGTGGCTCTCGTTTTCTTGTGCTGTGGACCGAACAGGACACTCTGGATCTCCAAGCACTGAGGAGAGGGAGAGGAAAAGAGAGGATGGGCGGAATAAATAAGGAGAGGGTGGGAGAGAGAGAGGAGGAGGGAGAGATAGAGGAGGAAACAAGGAGGGAGAGACAGAGGGGGAGGAAGAGAGAGAGAGCGTAGAGGGAGAGACAGAGAAGTGGAGTCAGACAGAGGAAGACAGCAAGGAGGTAAAACAGAAGGGGAGGAAGAGAGAAAGAGGGAGAGACAGAGAAGTGGAGAGATAGAGAGAGAAAGAAAAGGGGAGAGTGGTGCAAAAAGTAAAGTAATGTTGATGAGAATTCATAACTTTAATCTTAATTTGAGTTAACAAAAAGATTATTATCACATTATAAGTTCTAGTAATGTCACCAGTGGAGCTAGTTTATTCTTTCTTTAGTGCGACACATGAGAACTTCAATACACATGGAGGGAATAGAGTGTTTCTATAGCAACACATTAAGCACCAAACATCCCAGTATAGCCTGACTCCAATCCAGAGTGTAGATCTCTCCTGTCTCCCGATTCAATGTATTTTAGGGACCCAACCATCCTCCCTGAGCCAGTGTAACCAAAACTGAAACTTAATTTGTCAGATAAGCTAGCAGCTACAAATAAAGCTGTCCTTACTGACTCATTATGTGGTTCAGACTGTCTTACTTTAAAGCTTTATTATCTAGAATCATAATTTATATTAATCCATTTCATATGTGCTGTGACATGTGAAAACCAATGATGTCACAATGTTGGCTAAACAGTAAGAGAAAAATATAAATTTAAAGGATCCATATTATGGTATTTTCTGATCTATGTTATAATGCTGTTTCCTCATCGCAAACATACTGGGACTTTTGTTTTGCTCCATTCACACATGTTTACCACAGAAACCCTTCATATTTAGACTGAGTTCGTCTCTCAAACAGAAAACAGTCTGTTCCTACTTGGGATGTCATGTAGTAATACAGGAAGTGCTCCACCGTGTCTTTAACTTGCAGTATAATCATCAATCCTAAAATAGCCAATCTCTACTAAATAAAAGGTAAAATGTAGCTGTTAATGTTAAAACTACCACAACATGACATCACAAGGTGGAACACAACATACTGAGCTTTGGAGATTTAGCCAGATTTATAATAAAGGGGTACTCAAAAATGTGTGAATAAATCAAAACACAACTCTAGGTATGTTTTTGAGGAGGTAACAACATGGCTTAAAGCTCACGAGTCAATTTTGCAATATAGAACCTTTAAACCCTTATGTAATCACAGAGCGTTATCTAAAATCATAATTTACAGTAATCCATTTCACATGTGGCGAGCAGTGATACGTGAAAAACACTGATCTCACAAAGTTGGCTAAACAGTGGGAGAATGCTCTAAATTTAAAACAGGTGGGTTCTGTTACTACACAAGTCACACCCACGAGTCACTGGGAGACCTAATGCACACAGTCTGTGTGGGACCAAAACAAAGAATAAATTATCATGTTTTTGTATTCTTGAGAAACTGTGTGGTGGCAGTGACTCAGCAATAAAGCATTCAAAACTCAGTTCAAGCAGTTCAATCCCAGCTCATATTGTTTGGCAACTTTGGGCAAGACACTTCCAAATTGTAATGTATTCAAAGTGCAATACACTTTTACTGGTGTATGTTATTAGGAACCTAATAACATAGAATATTGGAAGACCAAATGAATCTCATTGGACTTTTACTGGTGCTACTTTTACTCGCTCGTCTCCATGAGAATGTTATTGCTTCACCTGGAAAGTTCCACGCAATGGCATTAAACATGCATGTTTACAATGGAGACAATCAGGTGACACGACTGGGCCAAGTTACAGGTCAGATCTGTGGAGTGGCGAGCCCACTCACAATGAAATTCACAAAATGTCAGATGTTCAATTCCTGCTCAGACCAAGTTCTGTTTTTCACTTCCCCCACACTGCCTGATATCATAGACTGTATAAAGAAGTGGACTAAGGGAGTGTGACGTCACTCATAGCATTTGTCTCCAGAGAAATGAAGCCCATGAGAATTTGAAGCCAAGTTCCATATTAGGAATAGGAATTAATTTATGGACAAAACAGAGAAATAAAAACAGCATCATCATTTGACTAAAATGACCAGGCTCACTGCAGTAGTTATAGGGGTTGTCAGCAGGGCTGAAAATTTTAGTGTAAAGTCAATTGGCGCCAGAGTTGATGGAGCCGGAAGTGCCCCCATATTCACTTCCTATTTGGAATGCAGCGGCTAGCAGGTTAGGTTCATGTTTATAAACAGCCTATGCCAAGTATGAATGTGGTGTGTGTAAGAGTGTTGGTATTGGTGGGAGGGGCTGATGGTGCAGATTGGTAACCTCAGTCAGTCTGACCGCAATAGTAACCGCTGAATGAATAATGATTACAGTGTAGATCTTTGAGAGGCTGTAAAGTCTGTAAAGCACATTAATAAGGCTAGTGTAAAGCATTATTATTTTCAATGTATCTTTTAAGAAATAAGAAAACTGTAATGAAATAAACTAGATCTGCAAGCAGGTGCTGGACCCCATAGAAAAGTTACACAGTGCACCTAAGTACTAAAAGAATCTAAAAATACATAGTTTTGTTATGATTTATGGGCTACTTAGTTTCGCGTTTAATAGTTGTAGAACTTTTCATCCTAATTGACCGAGTAACAATAAGTCAATCAGTAACTAAGACTAAATCAAAATAAATTTCCATTAGTTTGGGCTTTTATAGTTGAATAAAGCTTTCACATAAATCACAACAGGTTTCAAAATGAAACACAAAGTTGCTTTCTCTCCTGGCCTTGCTCCATCTGGCTCTGCTGTGTGTCTCTGTTACTATGGGCGACGTGGAAGCGCTTTTTTCCTCTGCACCAAAACAGGAAAAAGTTTGGAACTAATGTTAGCGTGGTGGCACAGTCTTTTGTCCCTCACAGGCTTCCTTTGGCCAGGCCCAGATAGTCCCAGTCTCAGAGGGGGACTTCTGGACTTATCAGTGCTGGGTCAGGGGAACACAGGAGGAGAGGGGTCATGTTGTTATACTTGGAGACCCTCTATGTTAAAGCATAACAACAACACTGTCTCCATAGCAACCACACTGGGGCAGGTTGGTACTGGTTTAGAGGGCCCCCTTCCCTCCCCTTCAGTGGGACATTTTGGAGATTTGATGTGGAGCAGAAATGAGCTCATAGTTCAAACATATGCAGTCATTTATGGAAAGAGACACATTACATAACCATCTCAGTGTTTCCACTCTACTCAAAGAAAGTGGACTTGTGTTTTCACTGCACTGTTGTTGGTGAGTGAGAGGATCTTATATTCACACTCATGTACATATACCTAAAGCAACACTGCGTAACTTTCTGGAGGAGTCACGTCACCTGCACTGTTCCATGGAAATACAAAGTTATAACCATACTTCAGAACATTCTCCATGGGTGGTGTATTTCTGTCTATTTGTGGCCAAAAAGTTTGAGAGAATGTTCCACACTTACACTTATGTTCCACAGCATGACACACACCAGGTCAAGATGCAGGTCAGTTCAGAGTGAGAGGCAAACCAACTCAGTACAAATGCATGTTTTCAAGGTATTTTTTAGCACTAATAACACCTGTAATTGAATTGTCATTTGTAAATCAATAAAGCTTGCCTAAGTAAAAGGTCAGATCTATGAAGAGGCTATCCCGCTCACTGTAACAATGCATTTTTCAAGATATTTTCATAAGCAATACAGCACATGTAATTGAATAAATTCAGCATAGATGTGTTTCATACAGTGGAATATTAAGGATGATGCTATAACATTTCCATGGAGATGTTATAACAAGCGGGGCAGAACATCTGGCCTCTGCAATTTTTAATCCTGTAGCTGTCAGACTGCTGAACTCCCTTTAAATGTATAGGCACTTTACTAAGTACTTTTATCTCATGATTATTAAACGTCTGTCTACATCTCCAAAAGCTCAGAATTCTCTGTTCCACCTTGATCCACGAAGAGGTAGTTTTCAAGTTAACAGCAACCTTTTAAATTTTGTTCAGTAGAGATTGGCAATTCCAGGGCTGAAATCATCCAAATGATTCTAGTGAAGGTGTATAGAGTTTAAAAACACAGAAGAGTAGAAGAGTACTAACCCATGATATTACAAGAGAGAAGGGGAAAGTGGAGTGTTTTCCATTTAAGAGAAGTCAGCATAAATAGGGTTTATATGTTAGACATGTGTCAGTTAAACAAAACACAACTCCGGGTATGTTTGTAATGAGAAAACATTACAACATAGCTCAGAAAATAGCCTACTATAGGCCCTTTATATAACATTACTCCATCTGAATGACAATGAGTTGGACTGGTCTGTCACAGCACGTTTTTGATGAGGAAATGTGTACGTGAATGTACGTGAATACAATATAAGAACGTAACCTTTATTTTACCTGGAAAGTCCCATTGAGATGTGTAATATAAGCTTGTTTACCAAATGGACCTTATACTGACACTGATCCAGAGTCGTTATGTAACACTGGAGTGTACACAGGAGACTGCTCATAGAGAGTGTAGCACATGAAGCATGCCACACTAATGAGGTCACTGTTCTTTTGATTGACATCTGACAACTATTCCCCCTAAACCCCTCCCTGTCCACACACTGAGAACTGTGAGGGTGGGTGGGGGGCTCAGGGGGGAGGGTGAAGCACCCTCCACTCGCATACAGCACCCTGCCAACAGACACCTGACTCCGGGAGGAAATAACACAGCTCGACGTGACTAGAGTGCTCTGTTTATTTTGATCAGCGTGCTAACCTTTCATTTAAATAGACACTTATAAACCCTGGCAAATGTCGGTGCAATATAAATATACAACAAGCTCTTCTGCTGTCACTCGGTTAGCCACTGGAATGTAATCAGATCTATCTAATTAGCGAATCGTGTTCAAAATTATTATTAAATATGTAATTTTGTATTTGTGTTTAAAATGGTTTGAGGTTGTATGTTCAAATCTTTGTTTTATCAGACTTTCTTTTGAACCCTCACTGCTGTTCTTTTTATTTTTATTCTGCATTTCATTAAGTTTATGTTAAGCCATTCTAAATAAATCAATTAAAAACTAATACATAATAACTAATAATAAAGGCAACATGAGTGTACATCAACTTTTATGTCAGGATAGCTGCTATGATATTCCCCTCTTTAAAGATTTGGTGAGGAGTGCCTTATTTTCTCCATGGAGATGTTACCTGACCTGTAACTTGGCCTGGTGGCATCTCCTGCTGCTCCATGGAGATACACTGTACTTTTAATGCCATACTGTGGAAAATTCTAAGTAAAGCAATAAAACATCTCCAAGAAGACAAAAAAATGGCAGACTCTTCAATAGAAAAGTTGGATGGTGCTGCTTTAAATATTCACTATGCACTTTTCTGATGAAGAGTCTATCACGTGTTGTTACCATGGAGATATGATTGTGTTGCTTGTTATGTTCCACAGTATGGCATTAAATTAATCTTTTAGGCATTTATTCAATTACAGGTGTTGTTATGGCTCCCAGCTAAAAAATACTTTAACAACCACACATTTTTATTGAGTTTGCCTCTCCACAGTTCTGATCTATAGTTTGATCTGTAGTTTGATCGGCTTGCGTTGTCTCCAAGGAGATAGCTGAGTGAAACATGTGAGCGTACCTGGCTCATGCTCCTGTAGGCCTGGCTGAGCTCTCCTTTGCTCATCTCCACACTCGCGATGAGCTGGAGCGTGTCAGCCACCCCAGCACTCAGCTCACCGAACTGGGCACGCTTAGAGGAGAGAGAGGCCCTCTGGAGCTCCACACATTTCTGCAACAGGACAACACAGGGTAGAGTAGTGTGGGTCTGATTAAAATGAAATTAAAATAGCTTTCAATAATACATTTCTGAGAAGCACAGGGGAGAACTCACCTCACAGATGGAAATAATCAAGAAAAAAGCAAAGAATGTTGTGGAGCAGAAGAAGATTGTGAACTAGGGTTGTCCAAACTTGATTTTAACATTATACAAAAAAATTTAACCTACCTGGATGACTGACAGATTACACAGATATAAGACAAGGTAACATAAAAGAAAGTACTATGATTTAATGTTGAAAAGCTCATTCTATGTCTAAATAATTTTTTTTTTCTTCATTATCACTGTAGTATCGGAATTGGTATTGCGTAAGGAGTTTTCTTACTACAGAAATTTTTGTATCATGACAGTGATGTGGGTGCTCCACATGAGATACATGTCACTGAAAGACAAACCTGATGCACTGAGGACAAACTGGATCTCACATATGAAAAAAATTAGAAATAAATAAAAATCAGTGTCAAAAATCTGCAAAATTTCCAATATTGGACAGATGCATTCCTTATCCATACCTGTAGTGGGGATTAGGGAAGCTACACATGTTTTGGACCTAACAGATGGACTCTTTAACGTACACTTTACTGTCTACCTTTGACCCAACCTCCAACGCTATGGGGGAAAACTGTCAGGAGCATTGTGACCCATCTCCAGAGCTTGGTCCAAACCTGTTCAGGACTACCTTAGCTGGAGGAGTTGACCTTTTGACTGGGCAGTGTTTATGACCAGTACAGATAGTTTGGACGAGCACACGGGCTACTGTGACATCGTACATTCAGTTATATGAGCACAGTATCATGCCTACACGTACAAAGTTGAGTTAGAACAATGACAAGCCCTGGTTTACACCCTAACTCAGGCAGTTTAGGCAGGAGAAGGATGCAATGCTAGGGGGCCAAGTACAGCTTTAGCAAAGAGGTGTCAAAGAGGTGTCAAGCCGCACTCAGCTGATAACCTGTTTTTACTAGAGAGATTAAAGGGCCTATATTATGCTATTTCTGATCTATGTGAAAATGTTGTTCAACAAATATAACTGGCCTTGTGTTCTGTTTCATTCACATGCGTTTAACACACAAATCCTGCATAGTTAGGCTGTGTTCTTCTCTCAAACAGAAAATACTCTGTTCCACTTTGTGAAATCATGTGCTACTACAGAAAGTGCTCCACTGTCCTTTTAAGATCCATACACCTTCACAAGAATCATCTGAATAATTTCAATCAGAATTGTGAATGTCTTCTTAACAAAAGATAAAAGGTAAGTGAAATAGAGCATTTTGAGCTTTGGTGATTTGGAGTAACAATTAAAGGTTAACATGTGTGAATGAAACAAAACACAGCTCCAGATATATTTTTGAGGAGGTAACAGGTAACATGGCCTAAAGCACACAGTAGTTAGTTTTGCAAAATAAAGGACCTTTAAGTGTCATCCAAGGGAGGAGTGGCAATCTGTACGTTCTAGAAAAGCATAACCCCCACTCCCCCTCCCCGATGCTCAATTTTTTTCCATGGGTTGATTCGTCGGGGAAAAGTCCAGGGGCGTTTTTTGTATTCTTTGATTTAAATTAAGCCACAACAAAATGGAATACATCTGTTCTCCTGTTACTTTATCATACTTGTCAATCAATAACACCTATCATTTTATAAGACCTGTCACTTTAAACCACTCACTCCAACAATAATTTATGTATTTGGTCTGCCAGGTTTGCACTATTGTTCTGCCCAAAAATTTTTTTGTATTAGGTTGCACAACATCACCAAAGCACATTCCCAGTTTGCAGAGGTGGGTAGTACATTTACTTGAGTAAGATATTGTACTTTTCAGTGTATGTTTCTACCAACATACTTTTACTCCTACTTGAGTAATATTCCTGTTGAAGTAACAGTGCTTTTACTTGGGTAATATATTGTACAGTGTAACAGTACCCTTACTGGAGTAAAAGTTTTTGTTGCTCTTCCCACTCTGAGTGTTGACAATATGAAATCGTTATTAACATTTGTGTTTCTTAGACTGTTCCTTCAGATATGATTTTGTTTAATTTAGTTTCATTTTTGTTTTATTTAAGGGTTTGTCCTTCCAGTTAACTTAGTTACATCCCACCAATTACTCTCATTCTAAAAGTAATACATTTCCCAAATACTTTTTCACTCTTACACGAATAAAATGTTTGGCTATTCAACCCACCTCTGCTGGTTTGTGAATTTTGATCACTGATTTTGATTTTGAAATAAGGTTTGAGCTTTCCAGCCTTTTCAGCTTCAATACAGACTCTTTGGCTCTAAGTATCTGCCAATACCCGATAGTAACCAATGCCAGAAAGATGCCAGAAAAAAAACACAAAGTTTCTTAACTGATGCCAGTGTAGGGATGGAAAATGGCTTTTCCCCCCAAAACCCAGTTAACAAATCACAAAATGGACCCTATTGTGTTATGTAGCTGTATTTTTCTTGCAAGTAACTACTGAACAGCTTTGTATGAATTAAAGTTCTATATTATGTAATATAAGACACTTTCAGCCTAAGGCAGCCAGTAAATAGTCTAACAGGATAACGACTGAACCAATATCATGGGGCCGATACCAGATCCAGCCAAATTTCCTGAATTTCCTGCATCCCTAATAGGGTCAGTCACTAATCCAACAAGACTTAGTTTTATGAAAAGCAAACAGAGACATAAGAGTGGATGAAGAAGAAATTCAAAGAATAAAAACAATAGTAAGTACACTACAATAACATCTTATAAGTATCTTATAGGTATCTTTTCCTTAGTATAAACATGATCACTGGGGCAGGATGTTACTATGGCGATGCTCACTCAAGAGTACTACCCCATCTCTGTGTACAGGCAAACCACAGGAGCTCTAAACAGATTGAGTGTTGCCATGGCACTTATAAACATAGCTGTAGGTAATAGGATCCGACTGACAGCGTAATTATAGTTTACGTTGGGCTGATAGAATGTGATGGTGGTGTGTGTGTGGTGTGGTGGTGGTGGGGGGGCACTCTCACCTCATGTTGGCCTCTCAGGAGCAGATAGCGGCAGTAGTCGTCCTGAGCAGAGAGGTAAGACAGGTCCCTCTCTCCCGCACTGCTTCGGTACAAGGACAGGCTCTGCTCAAAGTAATCCCCAGCACTCTCTACACACAGTTATGGAAGGGGGTAACTTTAAGAAAATTACATTAAATCATCTAGAAAAGTAAAAAAAATTACATCTGCCTTATAATTGTTATGACTGGTGAAGGATAAACTCCATCCATTTCTATTGCTAATCAGACTTGAATAAAACTGAAAGGCTGCAAGTGCTATAAAGGAACCGTATGTAAGATTTTGATTTTAAATTCCATAAACATGACCTAACTGTGTCCCAAGATACGAGGTTCTGTTCAAATTAAATATAGAGTTTACTGATAACAATTCAAATGCTGATGTTTTCTTGGATTTAAAAATATTGACACATTGTTATAATTTGGTGTTTTCAACCTTAAGATGATTGTTCAGAACCAGTTTCAATGTTGAAATCCAGGTGGTATTAACCCATCCAATGCCATACTGAGGGCAATTTTCCCTATGGGGACAATAAAGTGTACCTTAGCCTACTGTAGTCTCTGCATCTCAGTGAGTGAATTCTGGAGGTTTTTCAGATTTCACATGATACGTGGCCTATCCTTATACTGAGAATGAGAAAACTTGTATGCTTCTTCTATCTACAGGTTAAGGCAATGGCAACTCATGTTCAGTTGTACATACATAATACATTTTTGCAGACAACTAATATCACTATAGAAAGAAAGTTTACTCCATATCCTATACTCCCTACACTGTGGAACAAGCATTTATAACTACTAATCTAATGTTCCAGTGTGACAAACAACATGTCACCAATACTATTCTCAAACTGATTCCATTCTATACAGTCTGACCTATAGAACACAATGGGAGCCTAAGACAGTGATAAACCCTCATGTGCTGGGTTCTGGACATGGCACTGGAGCATAGACTCACCATTGTGCTGGCTGTTAGCTGAAGTGGACATGAGCAGGGCCAGTCTGTGGGACAGGCCAGCTCCCTCCCTCTGCCTTGGGGGGGTCCGGGTCAGAGCTATGGAATGGGCCTGTTACAAACACACAGGGGGTGGGGGTAAGACAGATCACATATCAGATCAGGGATGTGGAGGGATTACACAACACATTTAGTGACACTGGTAAAGCCCCTGTGTATTTATGGACTTTAAGGAGTAATGACTTTTAGCAAGACCTCAAGACAACAACAACATCGCTTATGAGGTAAATACATGGATCCTATCATTAAGCATGTGTTCTAAAGCAACTCAATGCACATAATAAACAAACATGTGTAAGTGAAAACTTGACACGTATCTGGAGAATAAATATAGACATGAATGAATAAAGATAAATTAAGATGGAAAATGAGAAGGAAAGAGCTATAACATCCTTAAAAGCTCTAAAAGGTTGATATGGCATAATTAAGAATTATGTGAGAAGATAGGATATAAATAGGGCCCAGAGTTTAATTTAAAGGGACAGTTTGGAATTTTGGACATAGGGCCTTATTTCCTAGTTAGTCAGAGTGTTGAGAGACGTGTGGAGACACTTTTTAAACCATTCCTTCCAGTTCTTGTATTTGCAGAGGTCGCTGATGCTAGGCTAGTGCATGTCAACAGCCATAGTTAGCGTGCCCTATAAACAGTCTTACCCGCTGCATAAAGCAGAACACAAAACAATTATAACGCCAGATTGTCAATGTGAATGTCTGTGTCGATAGAATAATTTTAGAAATAAAACCAACCTTGCATTTGAAGGATTTATGTCTGAGCAGCAGCAATGATTTGTACTTCCTGATAGAAAGCTTGGCAGCAGCAGCGGACTGATATAAGAGAAAGTAGTTCCTCAACATGCGACGATTCATGTGATGCAAGATTAGTTTTATTTCAAACATTATTCTATCAACACAGACATTTACATTGATAGTTTGGTGTAATAATAGATTTGCTTCAGGTGTTTTGTGGAGTGGTGTTTTTAGTGGCAGGATAACTATGGCCATTAACATGCACTAGCCTAGCACCAGCGATCTCTGCAAATTCATGGACTGAATGGAACATTTAAAAAAGTGTCTCCACAAGTCTCCAACACTTTGGCTAACTAGGAAATGAGGACCTATGTCCAAAATTCTGAACTGTCCCTTTAAAGATTTACAACTTGTTTGTCTCTATGGAGAGGTTTATGTGGAATGTTCCACAATGGGCATTAATCACATCTGTTTATCTATATCTATATCACTTATTCCATGACAATGTTTTTATTGCTCAAAACTACCTTCACAAACATGCTTCATTACAGTAAATGCCATAATAAGGAACATTGCAGGCACAGCGGTGCAATTGTGCATGTTATGGATGCGTGTGTCCATAGAATAATTTGCTTTATAAATAGTCCAAAATATGTATTATTTCATCTTTAATGAGTGCTTTATATTTTATTAGATTACATTTGCTATACTTAATAGTTTTTTTCTATAATTATTAGCCAGATGGCAAAAAATATTATTCAGCAGTTGTTTTTTCAGACTATGCAGTGCCACCAAAATCTCCTCTATAAATCTCTCTATAAATAGAAACACTCGCACTACTGGTTGGTTATTCATGTCACAGGCCTTATAAAATATCTCCCCTGTGTGATCATGCTGAAACCTAATTTAACTGATGCATCCCATAATATTAATCACCACTATACTCCCCCTCACATGGACTACAGCCTTGTGGACACTTCTTACCTTGGACATTAGGTCTATGGCTGTGTCCACATTCCCCTGGTCCTCTTGGATATGGGACATGTCTCTGTACACAGACCAGGTCATGTCCTCCTGGTTCATGTCCCTCAGAAGCTGCAGAGAGCGCTCACACTGGGACAGAGCCTCTTTGGGTTTACCCTGTCTCCTGTACACCCTGCAAAACAGCAACAAGCTGGTTAAAGGAAACACACTCTGCTACACTGACTTTGACATTTTTCATGTTATGATGAAGTTTGGGCGTCTAAAACTTATTTGGAGTAGAGTTTAAGTAAATCAAAATAAAAAGGAAACTTGTTTTGAATCCACCATGCTACATCATCATAAACATTATCAAGTACTCTTATTAGTACTACTATTTGCTATAGATAGAAAGATAGATATTTATTTATTTATTATCTTTATTGATCACGAAGGAAATTCAAGTCTTCCAAAATTGAGAGACATTACCTATAAATGAACGGCTGTGATTGGACTGTCCCAGATGTAACAGTTGTCTGTTGTGCTTTATATTCTGGTCCAAGACCCTCAACTAGAGCAATCCCCTTCTTGTTGCTTAAGGTACCTTGTTCATGGATTCACAATAACAAAAGCAGTTGACATAATTTGTGCAGGTGTAACTGGTGTGAAACCATCTACTACTGCAAAGCAAATTTTTAATGTCACATTGACAAAAACTATGCAGCTTTTTGTTTTCAAAAGATGTGAATTCTCACATACTATACCATCATACAAGTTCTAAATATAATGAATTGACACAAAGATAATCCAAGTCCAAAATATTTAAAAGCTACAATAAAACAGAATTTCCTCTTCCTTCTCACTTAGTCTAAGTTGAATGACTGTACATGCTCCGGCCATAAAAGTCTACAGATCTGGTGTTTGTTTAGCCTGAGGAGGACAGCCTGTAGGCTCAGTGCCAGTGCTTCACATCACAGCGCAGAGGGCTATACTAAGATGCTTCCTCCCTCATTGTCTACTCACTCACATGCAACAGCGGGCCCCTGGCAGTGTCCCCTGGGGGCCAAAGTTTCTCCGCTCCTAATTCTCTGGCATATCCTTAACAGACAGCTGCAAGAGTATGAAGTCATTTAACACATGTATTTGCTTAAAATAATGAAACACCTACAGACAAGCACCATGTTGGCTGGATATTTTATTAGGTACACTAGAAAGAATTAAGTGAAAGTAACTGAATGTAAAATTTTGATTCCATAAAATGTAGCTTTAGCTGATAATAATTGTAATGCTGTTTTATTCTTAATTACAAAAGTGGAAATTCTCTTATCCAGTCAGAGTCAAATCAGAGTCTCTCATTTGGGTTGCCAGGTTCAGTGCTGTTTAAATTAACTCTCTGATCTGAATGGTCACTACATGAACACCATCTCCTGTAGACAATCATGAATTAATGCTAGTGCAGCCTCTGCAGCTCAGTGAATGAATTCTGGAAGTTCTGTGCTTTCACATGAGGCCTGTCCATGTAGTGAGAAAAAAAACTTGTGTCATATATTTAAAACTGTTCTTCTGTTTTAGAGCCATGCTGTTACATAAAAGTCAGCTAAACCCAGTTCAGTGACACTTTTTTAGGCACACTGTCTTAGTACAGATGCATGTTTGGGTTGAGAGACCCAAGCCTGTCCCAGCTCCATCAGCTCTGCTCTGTAACACTGTTATGGGTCAATATCAGATTCACTGCTGCACTCCACACACGTTAGCAAAGGCCCTGTAAACCATGTGTCCAGCAGTTAATAAAGGACATGATCAGCTGGTGTTTTAACAGCACAGAAGCAAGAAAAGAGCAGCTCCTCTCTATAAACACGAGTAAGTACAGTACAGTACACATGTGGTCTGTGGTGGGCAGAGGGATGGAGGTGTATGAGTGGATTAAATGGTAATGGGTGTGTTAATACTATGAAATACTCCAGGCAAAGCAATAACATCTCCATGGAGAATTGTGATTTTTAGATACCACAAACAATAACCATAAGCAAACACATTTACAAGTGAGGGGCAGATACACATGTAAGGATTAAACACAGAGGAGATATCTGTGTAGTTATAGAGAAATAATGCCCAAAACGTCACATTAGAATTCTCACTGACCATGCTATAAACTATAATAATAAGGTTTGCTTTGGATTGTATAGTTTTGATAGTAAATAAGAAATGTTTCAGTTTCTCTGCACATATGATCTAAGCCATTTAACTATGTTTCATCAGATCTTGAGCAAGGTTCTGGGAGTACCAAAGATTAGGGTTAAGGTGCACTTTATTATCATCATAGAAAATCCACAAAAGTACTATAATGTTATAATCCTAATGTTATAATTCCCCAGTGCCTCTGTGTTCACATTTAATTCTCATACTTTCCAACCTTTAACCAAACTGTAAGCCATGTCCTTCACCCCGCCCTTCTGTCTTTGTATATTAAACACTCCTTTTGATGAGCAACAAGAACACCTCAAAGTCTCCAACCACTCAGCAGCACAAACCACTGGCCCCGTCCACACCACACCAGCCCTGTCGTCTCCCTGACACTCAGTTAATGTCATTAAAGTTTAGTAACATGAGTCCTACTGAGCTCCATGGGTCTTTGGTGAGTGTCCAGAACACAGCCATGGGAAAGTACTACTAATCTGAAGGAAGACTACTTTTTTTAAAATTTTACTTTAATTGTGCACTGTGTAACTTCTCTGTTGGAGGGTCCATCAAATGCCTTTCTCCATGGAGATGTTAATACTTTGTCTGGAATGTTTCACAGTATGGTATTAAACCTTTCTGTCTTCATGGAGACCAAAGCAGTGGTTACAGGTCAGATCAGTGGAGAGGCAACCCCACTGTCAAAATGCCTGTGTTTCTAGATATTTTTGAGATATAAACCCCCCTGTAACTGAATAAATGTAAGGCAGAGCTGTTTATGTCATACTGTGGAACATTCCAGACAGAGCAATTACATATCCAGCAGATGACAGACCCTCCACCAGAAAAGTTACACAATTGCAACATTAATGAGCTCCAACTTACGTACACACCACTTTTTTTTTTTTTTTTTTTGAATTTTTGCAGTTTGTGCCACCTAGTATTTCCCATGGTCTCCTATCCAAGTTCTAGGTCCAACCCAGCTTAGCTTCCCATTCATTCATAAGCAACATCAGTGAAGTATCTTGTCTAAGGACACAGTGACAATATGTAAACAACTGTAGCGATGACCAAATTGTTAAAACCATCAACGTCATTCCCTGCTAACTAGCTATTAATAGCCCTAAAAACTGTTATTTTAGAAACATTTTTTTTTCTTTTTGTTACTATATACAGATATTATCAATGACAATAATGTATTGTGAATTGTGGATTTTATCAAGGAGGGATGGAATAATATTTTGATGGCAGTGAAATAAATTTTGTTTTTGAAAATATTACTATACTAAGCCTGCAAGCCTCCAATGACTTCTTCAAGTGGCCTTTCTGTTTTTGCTCTTCAAGTATACTTCTTATATACTATACTATATTTTCTAAGCATCCAGAGAGATCTTTTTCACAACAGCCAGAAGTACTGTGATGTAGGGTAAATGTCATTTACGTTAATGCTTTTCTGTGTCAAAATATCTGTGGAAATGTCTCGCGTATTTTCCATTAGCTTCATAAATCTGCCCTATCACCAAATCTTCATCCAACAAGGTCCACAAAGGACATACTCTGTCCATGAAGAATTTATCCACAAGACGAAAACGTAAAGGGGAACAATGACTAGCAGTAGTGAACTACTCCTGGGCAAAACTAAAATTATGGTCATGAAAAAAACATCCATAATGAATAAATGCTAAATGGATATGTTTAATGTCATAGCAACATTCCAGGAAAAGAAATAACATCTCCACGAAGACAAGTAGGTCACCAGAAAAGTTGCACAATGCACTTTTAAGTCTGCACAAGGTTGTCAAGCTTGAATGTTACAGATGTTCACAGATGACATGTTTAGCATTAAACTGCACAAATCTCTCTGTCTATGCTAATATCTACATCATGAAATAGATTTTTAATTTTAATTGTAGAATCAGTCTGAGTTAACAAGTTACTTATGTTTTATTCATGACCATAATTTTAGTTTTGCTCAGGAGTAATTCACTACTGCTAGTCGTTGTTCCCCTTTACGTTTTTGTCTTGTGGATAAATATTTATTTATATATATTTATTCATGACCATAACGTTAGTTTTGCTGAAGAGTAGTTCACTAATGCTAGTCATTGTTAGCCTTTACATAAATTCTTCATGGACAGAAGATTTGGTGATGGCGCAGATTTATGATGCTGGAGAAAAGTACATGAGACATTTCCACAGAAATATTGTCATAGAAAAGCATTACTGTAAGTGATGTTTACTGTACATCGCAGCACTTCCAGCTATTGTGAAAAAAGTCTATAGAATAGTGTGCTTGACAACCTAGTGCAGACTTAAAAGTGCATTGTGCAACTTTTCTGGTGACCTACTTGTCTTCGTGGAGATGTTATTTCTTTTCCTGGAATGTTGCTATGACATTAAACACATCCATTTAGCATTTATTCATTATGGATGTTTTTATTGCTCAGAAATACAGTAACTCCTTCTGTGAATAGGTGTAACTTTCCACAGATCTAAATAATCTAACTGTAATGGAGCGTAACCTGCTTGTCTCTCTTGTGATAAATACTGTAGGTGACATCTATACTGTGGAACATTCTGGACAAAGCAATAACATCTCCATGGAGACAAGCAGAAAAATTGCACAATGCACCTTTACACAAAGACAATAACATGACCTAATGTGGCTTCCTGCTGGTGTTTAATAAGTATAATCTTGAATCTAAGGATGAAGAGCTGAGCATACACTACACACTATTGTTTGAAAACTTCCACAATAGCCCCGAGCCACAATGTCGACATGACCGCTTTAGAGCTGGGCCAAAGTGTGTGTCATCACTCAACAAGAGAGAAAGAGGGGATGGAGGGAGTGGAGAGTGGAGAGGGAGAGATGGAGGGAGGGAAGAGGGAGAAAGAGAGAAGGCAGGGGAGAGGGAGTGGGAGAAGGTCAAACAGGAAGGGAGAGAAGCAGGGAGAGAGAGAGAAGGAAGGGGAAGGAGAGGGGGAGGAGTGAACTGAGGAAAGGAGTGAGAGGGAAGGAAAGGGAGGAAGAGAGAGAGAGGAAAAGACGAGAGAGAAAGAGAGCGAGGTGATGATATTTTAGGCAGAGAGAGGGAGAAAGGAGATAGGGAGGGAAGGAGAGAAAGAGGTGGAGGGAGAGAAAAGGAGAGGAAGAGAAGGCGGAGAGAGAAAAAGAGAAAGAAAAAGAAGACACACAGCACACTCATACCACCACAGTGTGCACATTTTTTTACACATCACCAAAACAAGTCAGCAACAAAAACAGTCACATTCTCTTGCGGTGAGTGCTTCTCTGCTCCGACAACAGGGCCTGGCTTGGTTAAAGACTTAAAGATGACGGGGTATCCACTGCTAACACATAACATTTAGATCACCATGTTACCTTTTATAGTTTATTAGCTTCAGAGTGTGATCACAGCACAGTCAGCGTGTATATTTATGGAGAATTGTCCAGTGGGAGCATAAATGTCAAAGGTTTGTGAGCGGAGTATCGGACAAAAACTAACAGAAGGGTATGAATAGGGTCCCTGAGAGACCGCTAAAATAGTCAAACAAGCATGGATGATGATATCTAAAACCACTTCAGGCATGTTTTTGATGAGGGAACAATGGTAACACGGTAGAAAGCTCCAAAAAGTCAAGTTTGTATAATAACCTCTCTTTAAGAAGCATATTATAGTAATGTATAAAATGTTTTAACAGTGTTCTCGCTGTACTTTCTGTAAATTCAAATAGTAGGTCATACTTGTAGGCTATAATAATGTTACGTAGCCATTTTTCAACAATATAAAAATGTAAGTGAAAATTTATGGTGAAATGCCACTACGAAGAGGCTGGGCTTCTCAGTGCTACAGATTTAAACAGGAAGTCAATATCCTTGTTTAGATTATTAAGCTGTTTTAGATCAATATTACAGTTTGCAGTGAACATTGTTATAGTTGAATTCAAAATATCCTCAAAAAAGGATATGTCTTTTTTAAGTCATGCTGCTTTTACAAAACATTGGACTTTCCTAAAATGAGCTACTGCAAATCAGTTGTATATGTATATTTCTTGTGAATGATATAAACTGTTCAAAATCATTTCCTCTCTTCTCACTTCACAGCTGTTTGTGGAATTGAGCCTGCTCCAAAAGCCCAGTGGGATTCTGACTGTCATTAAAGCCATTCTGTCTCTAATGCATTCTGTAAAGCACTTTAAACCACTGCAGATGAAAGAAGCCATATTGTGAAATGACACTGGCAACAGTATAAACAACAACTGAGCTGAGACAGAGAGACAGAGAGAGAGAGAAAAGTATAAACACAAACAAAACATAGAGCGAAAGAAAGAAAGTGGCTGAAGAGAGATGAAGCAATAGTATAAACATAACACAAATTAAGCTAGAGAGAGAGAAGAGGAGAGGGCAGAAAGACACATAGAGAGGGTACAAAGAGATAGGGAGGGAGGGAGAGTGAGGGGAAGCCCAGAGGAAGATCGAGGAAGAGACAGATAGAGAGTGAGAGGAGGCAAAGAGAGAAACAGATTGAACAAATAAAAAGAGGGAGAAGAGGCACAGAGAGACTGCATAAACATAGCACAAACTAAGCAGAGAGAAAGTTAGAGAAAGAAGGGCTGAGAAAGAGGAGAGTGAGTGAGAGACACACAGAGAGAGATGGGGGGAGTAGAAAGAAAGAGGGAGAGATGGACAGAGAGAGAAAAACAGATAGAAAGAGTTAGAAGAGGCAGAGAGACTAGAGAGAAACACACACACACAGAGAAAGGGAGAGAAATAGAGGAACAGAGAGCTCTGGAGCATATAGTGTGGTGGATTGTTTACAGAAACGTGCCCGAAGCTACAGCTCAAATAAACCTTGATGAACAATTTTCTTGGCAGAGCATTGTAACAGATTGTACAACTACGGAAAATCTGCATTGTTCACACCTTGTTCCAAACAGGGAATCTTCAGTTCCATTAGTGAGGTGTGGATAGCAGGGGAATACACTGGCCAATCACAGGGCTCAGCTATCTTTGAATCTCTATGCATAGTTTTCAGTGTTTATTTATTTAGTTTCATGTACAGATTTTGTGTTTTAAGTTTCTCTGTGCATATATTTATCTGTTAACTTGTGAGGACTGAAATCAGTTTACAATTACTTAACTTTTTGTGCTTTGTGAGCCTAAAAATCAGGTCCTCATGAGGAAAATTCTTCAATATTAGATCAATGACATAGTTCAAAATAAGATTTGGGTTGATTTAGATGAGGGTTTATGTTAGGATCACTCTACAGGAAATGAACGCAAGTTAGTGCAATGTCCCCCCAAAGTATTGAAACCAAACGTGCTATTTGGGGTCAACTTAAGGTCATGTCCTTTTTACTTTATGAGAAGACACTGCCCCCTAGTGGTGTTAGCAATGAAAGGCAACAAAGAGACAAACTACTTTATCTGTGCCTATCAGGTACTCCTGATGCTCTCCTCATGCTCTGCTGATTTATACATAATACAGTATGTGCAAAGTTGCTAAAGAGACAGATAAAACATGGAACATAAAATAAAAGATAAAATAAAATCATATCATGGTTTTCTAGACAAAATCATAATTTCAAATTTAGCAAGTAAAAAAAGTAAAATCCCTAACTTTCTTAAACCAAAAATATTACTTAATTGAATTGGGCTGTTTTTTTCTCTGCATGTATTCTAATTTTGTAATAAAGTAAACTGATATATAAGTATAAACTCACACAAATGTATGTTATAGTGCCTTGAGTCTAACCTGAAGAGGCCGGTGCAGACCTCCAGCTCAGTCTGGGTGCTTTGCTCCTGGAGAAGGGCCCTGCTCTCACACAGGGGCCCCAGCTGTTGCTCTGCCTGGAGAAATGCACTCTCTGCCTCACACACAGTGCACATGTCAAGGACAAGAGGCTGAGTGAAGATAGAAAAACTACTGCAAACAAGCAAACATGAAAATGTTCCATTTTCAACAATGCTAACTGCTGATAGCTATGTGATAGGAATTACGCTCTGCCTTTACCAAGTGCTTTCATTGTGTCCTTGGGAGACATGTCACCCACCTTTTCTAGTATAAATGTGTGTGCTACTTATAGTGACCATGAGCATCCTCTTTTCATCAGTCTGTCCCAGGGCAGTTGTGGCTACACAAGTATCTTACCACCAGCTGTGTGTGGAGTGAATGCTGTAAAAATCCAAGGCTTTTTAAAATTTATAACCTAAAGCTTTTATTTAGAATGTTGTTTCAGTGATCCTTTTAAGGTGATAAGGTTAAAGAAGACATTTTGTTTTCTGTCTGGTATATAGTTATAATCTACATTATGTTAACATTTTAAAAAGCAATATTCATCTACAATGACTTAATAAAAGTCCTCTGATTTTGCCCACTGGGGGCAGATGTTGCCGCCATAATGTCATCACACCAAAGTGTCGGCACCTCGGATTGATAGCTGCAGATCACACTAGCAAGCAAGTTGTAGATTTTTTTAAAATTTTGAACTAAAATGACTACACATATAATCAATTAAGAAAATAAAATTGGAGAATGAAGTAAGTACAGAGCAGAGGGTGCACTGAAAATAGGGGTCGGCAATATGGCAATTAGGTATTAAAGATTGCTCAAACATGTACAAATCACTCCAAATACAACTTTGGGTAAGAAAATGGTGAGGGAAACAATTATAACACATTTAAAAGCTCTAAAAAGTCAATTTTGCATAAAAGGATATTTGTCAGTGAGCAGAGCAGCTTGTCCCTGAATGAGGCAGAGGTTCAGGAGGCACAGTCTGAGCTCGTGTCTGTCCCCGGAGCAGAGGAGGAGGACCTGACGAGCTGAAGAGACGTGCTCCAAAGCCTGGACACCCCAATCTGACAACACAACAACACAAGGTTGCAACATCTAAGGACGATATGTGTAAAGAAGTTTTACCTTTAAACTGGAGGTAGGCTTTGGCCAGGCGGCTGTGAGCTTGGGCCAGTTTTAAATGGTTCTTTCCATAGACCAGCTTTACAAGAGCCAGGCACCGCACCAGGTCCTGTATGCAAGCGTCATACTGAGGAGACAGAGTGGACACAAATGATTCACAATGTGGTTATTAATCATGTACATCTTGTTTAGAATTGGTTGTTTGTTATTATTATATTGTATCATGTTCTGGCCTTAATACCATAGTGTCTAAGTGTGTACTGCCTCCAGTGGGCAGTGCAATTTCAAATGGTTTGTCACATCATGCAGCACTGCTCTGATTAAAGCCAAGGGTTTCTGATTACATAAACCTGGCTGCAGGGGCGCAGTTTGAAGTGTGGATACCTGTTAGACCAATCAGACTACAGCTCGTTTAGCCGCTTTATTAGCAATGTGGTTGTGGGAGGAGTTAAGGTGTTTAATACCATTTAAGGAATAGGGGAACTGTTGTAATTGAATTGGACTGTGTAGTAGACTGCCACACTCGCTTTGCACACTCACCTGCTTGCTGTCTTCATGTGCCTGAGCTGATATGTCATAGTGCTGCAGTTTTTCCTCTGGAGACATGAGGGCGTGTGTCTTGGAGGTTTGGGGAAGAGGGGGACTTCCACTCAGCTCCTCCCCTCCACTGCTGCTGTCCATTCTCAGATCTGACAGAAAAACCATTACTTAAGTATTAATTACATTTTAATTTGACAAGACTCTTAATCACATAAGAAATAAACTAGGACCAAACCAGAACTGAACCAGGATTAAACCTGGACTAAACCAAGACCACACTAAACAGAAGCCCAAATGTCTAAACTAGAACAAACCAGGACAAAACCAAGAATAAAGGTATATTATTAAGGTTACCCAGCAGCCTACAGATTTTTACAATAATATTGTGGACCACCACAATATACAAAATTACAAGTCTCTTTGAGTTGTAGCACTAGCTAAAAAAAAAAAAAAAAAGACAAAGGGAACTACATAGACTATGATCCTTTGCTCCATTTCAGTGTAGAAATAACAGTTCTAAGCACTGTTAAGTCTTAGTTAGTCTGTGTATGTTAAATATGACTGTTTGTGAATTAATGTCAAAATATATCTGTGACCGAAATAAATAAATAAATAAAATAAATAAATAAATAGTTCTTTGAATTAAGTCTTATCAAGGCATTTTAAGAGGAAAAAGTAACATATTCACAGTTCTGTTTAGCCTCCACAAAGTATCGCAATAAATATCGTACCGTGAGATGTATATTGTGAAAATATCGTACTGAGAGATTTGGATATTGTTACATCGTGAGCTTCCTCACCATATCGTGAGCTTCCCCACGATGTCGCAATAAATCGTACCGTTATGTTCATACCGTGACGATATTGTATCGTGAGACTTGAATATCGTTACACCCCGAGTTGAGTAGTCAAAAAATATACTCAAGTACTGAAGTAATGTTACTTCAAAATAGTCTTACTCAAGTAGATGTACACAGTAGTGGTCCAGGGAATTACTAAAGTAATGTAATAAAAGTATTAAATTATCAGAAACTTTAACAGTAATGGGATTTATAATTTAAAGTAATGTAATTTATTCCCTGAGTAACTCCCCACACACACAATGCAATGCAATCAACAGGTCAAGTTGTGTATTGTTTTGCATCCTGTTTTTTTGTATATTTATGGAAAATTGTTGTGTAGGAGAATGGGAGACGTAAGCTTGTAGGCGGAGCTTTGCACAGCATCATAACAAGGGTTCGAATATGGACCGGGAACGATCGCTAAAATACTGAGGCTTGCATGGATTACATCTAAAACCTTTTTAGGCTTTTGTTGAGGGAACAACATCATAACATGTTAGACTGCCCCAAAAAACATTTATTTTTTGTAATATGCCCTCTTTAAATTAAACACAAAAGCCTCATACTCACATCTTTAAGAAACCCAAGGATATTACTTCTGTATTCGATGACCAGTACATAATCATCAGAAACGCTGTTCAGTCGTGTTGTTTTCCGCTTAGCTCTGCAGACTTCATCCTCGGTTAGTTTGGGTTAAACTTTGACGCATGGTTTAGATCGCCATTGGTAACGCGCGCTCCACTCTCCACTCCTACACAACACATCGTGCACTCAGACCCTCCTCCTCCTCCTCACTGACTGCTGTCTGACAAAACACGCACATTCAAAGTCAAATATAGACTTTCTTAAGACATTACGATGTCAGATAAGTTAGATAAGGCGTAAATATATTAGTTCTTTGGCACCACAGAATCGTCAGTCTTATGCGCAGATGGAAAAGGCTGGAAAAGAGAAAACAGGAAGCGAGGAATATTAACCAGGCACAGACGAGGGATCCAAACAGGCTGTGTCTTTGTAATGCTGTTGTGTCGCCACTAGAGGTCAGAATAGTTCAGGAAAATACAGAACACCTATCAGCCATTTAAAGGTACAGTAAATAACTTTCTGGAGGTGGCATGTCGCCTGCATGATTCCATGGGAAAAAAAAAAGTTAAAAACATACTTGGGAACATTCTCCGTTCACTCTGAGATAGATACGTTTTCTGCCAGTGTGGATTATTAGAAATTAAGGAAACAAACAAACAAAAGAGAAGTCCACTATGCCAAATGAGAGTTTGTTTTTTTGTACACTTTTAAATGGAATAAAAACATCTGAAATATATATTTTTAAAAAAGGTTTACGTTTTGTCTTAAGAGTTTCATACTGCAGGTTTAAATAATTTAACACCCAGTTAGTGGCATAACACAAACCAAACGCATGTGTTTCAAGGTATAAAAACAATATACAATGATTATTTGTATTAAAGGCCCTGTACCCAATTTTGTCCCATGTGTACTGAGCAAAATTTGTATTATTCCAGTACAGATTTAGGCCTATTGTACAAGCAGTTCTTGAGGTCAGAATAAGTCCGGTATGTGTTGTCTGCATCTAATCACAGAGTTTATTGTCTGAAAATCAGGAAGAGCACATTAGAGTGCTAGCTGTTATTAGCTTTACCATGAAGCAAAACACCGCTCTGGTCTTTGAGAGTTGTGAAAATCATTCAGAAACTCCTCAATGTGAATAATTAGAATGCATAAGATAATTGAGGAGTTTGAGTATTTTAGCGATCTCTCCCAGGCCATGTTCAAACCCTCCTTACAGGTAAGATGCAAAATTCTCTAATGCTTTGTCTACAAGCTTTACGTCACCCATGCTCCCACACAACAATTGGTGGAGTGTCTTAGCGTGGGGAGCAAAGGAAAAAGAGGCTAAGAGCGTCAAAAACAAAACTGAAACTTTTAAAACATGTTAATACATTGTTTTAGCGATTATAGCATTTGGAAAACAGTAAAAGGTAACAAGGTGATCTAAATATGTTACATGTTAACAATGAATATCCCATAGAAGTAAAATACCCCCTCTTTAATAATGGTGATACTTCAAACTTGTACTTTTCAAGATAGCCATGTGAACTTTAAATATGAGACAAAAAACAGAAGGATAGGTTGACATTTGTTTGTTTGTAAAGTCCTGTTTATGTCCTGTTTTGATCCTGTTTGGACTTGGTCTGGTCCACAGTCACAGTTAGACTTTGACTGGGATTAGTCATGATTTACACAGAGTTTAAAAGTTTGTAAACAAAAACATTCTAAATCTGAATGGAGGCAGCTGGAACTTCCAATCTCTAGTGAATTAAAGGTAAAAGGTAGCCTGAGTCATCAGCCGGTTTCATTCGTGGAACTCCTTGCAGCATTAGGATTCATTCACTCGACAGTAGGTGGGTATTTTTTTTTATTTAACCAATCGCTGCAATTTGATTGTGACATATGTAATACGCCAAATCCCTTAGGAAGAAGGGCAATAACGTGTTTCCACTTGATACAATTCACCAAACATTCTCTTTGTTCTGGCTTTAAATCTCGGAAATCATTGCCAACACAGAATGTATGGCTTCGTCTACATCCATCTCGATCGCTTTGTTTACTGTTGTGCTGTACCACAAAAAGGACCTAGACAGGTGCTTGAGTTTGATGTCATGGCTTCACAGCTCTTCACTGATTGGCCGGTGTGCGGTCTACAACTTTCGGGGTTCTTGCAAACCATCTAGTATATTCCGATTCCTGACCTAGTCACTGGAGAGAAATGATATTGAGCGGAGGCACTAGGTGGCACCAGCCCGGCTACGTAAAAGGTAGCCATTAACTTGAAAAACACCACTACATGACATCCCAAGGTAGAACAGAAGATTTTGAGCACTGACGACAGACAGATTAGAATTGGAATAATAAAGGTTTACTTAAACTTATGCGAATGAAACAAAACACCACTACAGCTATGTTTTTATGCGGTAACAACATTCCAACATGGCTAAAAGCTCACAAGAATCCATTCTGTCATAAAGACATAGTTTTCAAGTCAGCATACACCTTTTACCCGTTCCTTAGTAGAGATTGTAAATTCCTGGTCTGAAATTATCCAGATGATTCTAGTGAAAGGGTACAGAGCATTTCCTGTATTACCACATGACATCACAAGTTGGAAAAGAGTGTTTTCCGTTTAAGAGAAAACTCGGCCTAAATATTTGTGTGTTAAACATTTGACTGAAACAAACATAATTCCTGGTATGTTTTTGATGAGGAAACCACATAATAACATAGATCAGAAAACATCGTAATATGGGCCCTTTAATCTAATCTTAGTTCAGAATACTGTAAGTCCTTCTTTAGATAACTCAAGAGGAATGCCTTTAACCCTTCAAAAGATTCAGGTCAGGATAATTTATGTGCAAATATGAATTAATCTGCACTTTAAAGTTTCAGAAATCAGAGCCCTATTGGTGGTGTATAATGTTTACAGTAGTCTCCTGACCACTGCTGTGTACAGTTGTGAGGCCAGGGGCAGAGTATGCAGAGGAAATGTAGTGTCCCTGTAAAAACATCCTCCTCCTTAGTCAGACCTCTGCCCACTAGCGACAGGACTTTCGGCTCTTTTACGAGTTCCGAATCTTTTAGATCATCATTTCAAAGAAATGTTCAAAAGACTGTCTGTTTTACTTTTGCCTTAGAAGCCAAAGTAAGAACTCATTTTAAAGAAGACATAATGTGCTTGTGTCTGCTATACAGTTATGATGTTCACATTTTTAAGCACATTTTTGATCTAAAACTAATTTAATAACAGAAAAAAGTGTTAAAAAACTGTGGTGTCCAATGGGAGCTAACGTTGGCGTAAACATCATCTCAACAAAGAGCGGTGCTGCTGGGACCTCCGATGAATAGCTGCATATCAAACTAGCAGATTTTTTTCATTTGTGCCAAAATGACTATATGTTGCTGCCGAATCCTATGAGTATCACCAATTAAGAAAACTCAATCAAAGTAAGTACAGAGGAGTGGGTGTGTACCGGTGGCAGTGTAAATGGAGATTAATGGGCAAAATGGTGTCTTGAAAATAAGCAATTAAAGATTACTCAGACATGCACGAATCACTCCAAATCATGAGGGTAAATGAGGAGAGGAAACAACTACACCATGGATTTTGCATAATAGGTCTACTTTAACAACAAACTAATCACCGGGAGAAATGACTAAGCCTCAAATTTGTTTAAAATGGTACAAACTGAGATTGGGAGTGTCTTTACTTGTTGAAATGATGCATGATCTATATACAACTTTGCACTAATATGTTTTTTGTGGACAAAGCTCTTACTTGTCTTTCCTAGTCTGCTTCTGTGCTGATTCTTGTGTTGGTTCAGGGTTAATCAGTGTAAAAATGCATACAAATTAGAAAGAAATCCGGTTCAAATTGCTCATGTTAAGAAACCATTGAAATGAGCTGTCTCGATGACAAACATTACATCACTGGTGCCCACAGCTCTGAGAGAAATGAGCTTCTGAGGACACCGTAGGCATAAGTAAACATGATGCATCTCAAATCAAACACTGTCTCTGTATGTGTTTCTCAAACACAGAAGACATCTCCTCCAATACTCTGGTGGCATTCAAAATCAAATATCTTCTTTTACCTCAGATTTACAAATCCTCCAGCTAAGGTAGTCTTGACCGAGACTAGCTTAAGATCTGAGATGGGTCCCACTGCTCCTGACAAGTTGCTCCAGCAGCATTACAGGATGGGTCAAATGCAGACACATTTCACTATATTTTTCGCTATATGGTAAAATACCTACCTGTCTGACCTAGGAGGGTCATTATGCCATGTTATAATGTTCTTTCTTAAAAAACACAAGCATGATACAAAACAATACACTCACAAACCTGATGCGATGTGTGGTAGTTTCATGACCGGGATGCACGCTGACTGTGTTGTGATAGCGCTATGAGGGGGGAGTGCCTAAGCGTGGAGAGCAAATTGAGGGGAGACTCGTCATAAAAAACAAAAGTACACATGTTAATAGGTTGTTTTCGGCCAATATATTTTCAAAACAATACAATTTAACATGGTGATCTAAATATCTGTTAGCAGTTAATACCCCACAGAGGTGTAATACCACCCCTCTCTGAGTCAGTGCTTCCGTAGTATAATTCTTGAAGAGTGTTCAGGCGAAATGAATCACAGGCTTAAAAAAACATCAACAAAACTTTTGGCAAGCTGGTGTTTATTTTTTTATAACCAAAGAATTTAAGTTTTCAACGCTACTGTCTGGGTTTTGGTCTTTCAAACACCTCCATGACTCTCTATATCAGAAAAGTTACATAGTGTAACATACTTGTATTATTATTTCATATATTTTGTATGATACAGCTATTCAATATTTGGCCTGCTGCTGTGGCCAATATCAATATTTAGCTTTTAATATCTGCAAGGCCCACACATGTAAAATACACATTGAGTAATAGTCACAACTTTTCATGTTTGTAAAAATAATAAGAAAATATATTTATCTAGAATAAAAAAAGTATTAGTTACACGTTTGAGAAATATACAGCTGTACAACACTCTTCTATTTTCATTTTGACTCATTAGTTTCAAATTGGTTAAGTTCAAAAAGGGCACACAGAGATAGCCTGATTCATCAGCTGGTCTCACTTTCATGGAAACTTTGCAGCATTAAGATTTGTTCTTTTTTATTTAACCAATTGCTGCTATTTGTTCGGCAGGTATGTAATGCGCTGCTAACGAGGCTAACTGGTATATTAAGCTTTTCCCAAATCCCGTTTGAAGAACAGCAATAAAGACTTTCCCCTTGATAAAATTCACCAAACATTCTCTTATTCCAGTTTTAAATCCTTGATCTCGGGAATAGTTGCCAACACAGAATGTATGGCTTCATGTACATCCATCTCGACCGCTTTGTTTACTGTTGTGCTGTACCACAAAAGGGACCCAG